CCAGAAGTGGGCACCCCACACTTGGCCGCCAGCACTTGGTCAGGAAGACCCTGGGCACGCAGGAACGCCGCCACGTCCACGGCGACGGGTCTCGAAGTTATGTTTTTATATCTTCGCGCTCCGTGCGGAGGTAAGCCATCATGGCATCAACTAGCGCACCTACTGTGCTGGATTGCCCAAAAGCGCGTGGGGCGTGTCCAAACATGTCTCGCTCCAGATTCCAATGTGCACCGACTTCCGCGAACCACCAACCCGCTCTCGCCGAGTTCCCCATATTCAGCCTCAGACAGGAACCGTCCGAGAACAGGCTAGACTGGCAGAAAGTGAACGGGGTAACACCCCGCCCTTCTTGGTAAAACATGACGTTCCAATCCTCCTCTGGAAGGTCAGCTGGGACCGTGGCCAGCCAGCGCCTCGTGCAACAGATATCATTATCGCCAGTCTCTCTTGCCTGTGCGATTGTCTCCTGCGACAAATCTTCAGACTTACACGGCCCGTGGACACACCCACACTCGTCGGTGTACTGTGTCTGAGACCCCACAGCCAAACTCCCACTCTGGAGCAATTGCGTAGGCCATTGCCTTAAACGCGTAGCAGTAGGGGTCGCTCATCCAGAACACCTGTCGGGCTGCAAGTTTTCATTGAGTTCCAGGTCGTGCTTACTGGCCAAGGCGTTGGCCGCCAATTCCCACCAAAGACCGTGGTCTTGGATGAGGGCGCTTGGGGGGATCTGGTGGGCCTGGCACACCTTACTGGCAGCTTCTGGGGTCCTGGAATTCTTATATGGAGTGCCTGGGCGCCTTGCAATGCAAGTCGGGGCCAGCTTCTGTGCATCGAGGGTGATTCCTTCGAGGTCACGGAAGGGTGATTCCTCCGAGGTCCCGACACCAGACGAGGAAGTCATTGAACGGCTTCTTATTTGCTTTAAACCAGTTCCGAGCGACCGCCTCTCGATTAAAGTTGCGAAGCGTTGCCTCAATCAATCTTGTGAACATAGGCGGTGTAAGTGCTTCACCATGTCGGCGCTGCAGGTCGGGGCGAAGCGCACTGGACATCCTCCATTTTGCACAATACCGCAACAGACGCTGACTTGTTGCATAATAAGGTATTTTGCTCGCTCGCGACGTCGCCCACACAAGCTCTGCATTGAGACCTTTCAGCAACATGCTCATTGACTTTGACGCGTGTCCGAAACCTGTGAAGTTGTGACGGGCTGGGCGCACGCATATCATCACCAAACAGCATTGTTCGCACCATGTTCGTGGGGGCCAACCTGGTCGCGTGCCCACGCTTCGTAGACCGCATGCTCGGCAATTTCTTGTTCTTGGCCAGCGTTTTTCTCCACTTCTGGGCTCTGGTTGTGTGTGCGCCGTTGGGTGCGCGCGGTGCTTGCCTCGTGGGAATCGATCCCAACGTTCGTAAACCATGCCCGCCAGCGCCTCCAAGCTTTCCGAGCGTACCTCTCGCGTTGAGCGTCATCTGACCTGACGAGGTGGCCATGATCAATGTGTGCTCTGCCAACGGGATGCGCACTTATGATTGCAACATGTGGCCTACTCTGTGACCGTGTGACCTCATCTCCTGCAAGACCACCACTCGCTCACCCTGTAGACGCTGAGACTGGTCGTCGATGTGGAGAGAGGGCATGCTATTGGTATTCCTTCTTGTCTGAACTTCCTCGCCCATCAGTGGGTGAGGCTTAGTTTGGCTTCAAACGTCAAGCTCGCCGATCCTGCCACGACGCCTCTCCTCAGAACAAACGGTTCCATCAGCGTGCCGTCATACAGTAGATATTTTGGCCATCCATGCGTGTTTGGTGCAATCCTGGGAACTGCGATCGGGAACGTGATGGCGCTATTCGACTACAGAAACTGCCGCGGAGCATTCCCATCTCAGCAGGTCTCACAACACACATATGCAGCGCATCCCCACGTTGTTGGTGCTCTCTGCAACTATTGCTCGCCTCCAGACTGCGCCACTCGGCTCTCGAGATTGTGACATTGAGGTTTGTACGCCAAGGCATTTGGTAGGCCTCCCAGCGCCGGATCCTCTGTCGCCACGTCCGTCCAGCAATCCTCGTTGGCGCGGGGTAAAAACCTAGTGGTCGTCGTCCCCCTGTCGGTTTGTGGTTCAGCTGGGCCACTAGTGGTTGCACAGACTCTGGGGTCTGTCCGCACATTTCCATCACTATTAGCAGCTCACGAAACACCGATATGCGTTTTCTCAAAGTATGCTGTAACAGCGTGGGTGTCATCCATCTGGCTGGTACCTGGCTGTCGCGAAACGCTTGCTGGTGTTCGTTCTCGTCCACGTCCGTGGTCGGTAAATACATCACATGCACCTTATGCTGACCAAAAGACGGCGGGGCCTCCCATGGTTCATCACAACTCCGCGCTGTCGACCATTTGCTGCATGCCTTGGCCATGTGGTACTCAATCGAGCAAAGGTCGAGCAGCTTCAGCAGGGCCCTGGTGCTGGAGTTTCTGCAGTGTGATCTATTCCCTCACAGAAATGCGCTCGACGAGCTCCTGCCAGCATAGCTTAATCACACCATTCGTTCCATGTCTGTCTTCGTGCGCTGCTACCAGCAACCGCAACTATGTAGCGTCAGTACTTGCAAGCATCAGGCACTGAGTCTAGCCATCCGATACCGTGCGAGTCAGGGTTGGAGATCATGTGCCCAACTGATCTGAGCAGACAGTTCCAACGTTTAGCACCTGACTCCCACGCAGTGTTGAATGAGCTTTTGCAACCCAGCTTCTCTATTTAAGGAGTTCAAGCCTCCTTGCCCCCGGAATGTATCGACCGTATCTTTTGCAGCCTGGGAATGGCCCAAGCCGGTGTTGGTTCCCGATCTGGTTTTGACATGGTATTGATTGAGTGGTGCGGGTCAACTGGTACATCTGTCATGGCTTTGACAGTGCTGGCCATCTGGTGGTCGAGTGTTTTAATATCGAGGTAGTCAATGGTCGACTCGTGCTTGCCATGGACATACGAAGGGAAGAGCCCGCCACCTCTGACCACGCCATCGAGGATGTGGAGTCGGAAGGCTTCTCCTGTGGCATGTGGCGGATGGTTCCAGTCACCTCCAAAAACAAACAGAGCAGCTAGACCAAGTTAGCAACACATCCTGAGCTTACGCGGTGTCAGCCCTTTCCCCGCATGCAAGTAGATTGTCCCAATCATGAGCGTTCCCAACTTGCCAGATTTGATGTAGCATCTCGCGACTCGTCCTGCCTTGGTGCTACCCTCATCCAGTGCCAAACCGTCGAGATGAGCTCGCGCAAGGATGAATGCACCACTAGATGCCCTTCCTTTCTCTGTCGGTAGTGCGGGCCCGCCGTGCGTCTGCCAACCAATGTTCGCCATCTCCTTGACAGTCTCCTCGCACATGGTAGAGCAAAGACGGTGTTCCTGAACGAAGACAACTTCCGACGAACACCTTGGCAGCACAGTTTCCAAAGAAGTCCACGGCGACGCATTGACGCCCACGATTGAGATGCCCTGGAGATGCAAACTTGGCATTCTGATATTTGGGCCTGCTCTTTGCCCCCTTTGCTTTCACAACGTCTGGGCTCAAGGGGGGTTGGGCAGCTGCGCCAGACCCGCCTGGCTGTCTCTACATTGCCCTTTTGGACGCTGCCGGATGCGCCAGACCATGCGCAACGCCAGGCTGTCTCTGCACTATCACTGCCATTCTCCCTTGGCTCACCTCCTAAACTGGAAAGATCACCACCCGCACTGGCCGAAGCACCACCCACGTTGGAAATAGTACCATCATCTGCATGGCAAAATATCACCACCTGCACTGAAAACGTGGCACCACCCACGTTGGAAGTAGCACCACCTGAACTGGAAATGGCTCCACCTGCACTAGCCGCTGCATCACCCGTGTTGGAAATCGCCCCACCTGCACTGGAATTATCACCATCTGCACTGGGCACTGCTCTACACGCTCTGGAAATAGTGTCACCTGCGCTGGAAGTAGCTCGACCAACGTCGTCGTTAGGAACGCTCTTGTCCTTTACCTGCACCTTTGGCGAACGGACGTGCTGGAATCTGTTTTTCTGGTGTAAACCAGACGGAGAGGGCCTGATCGAGTTCGGAGGTAGCCGCTGGTGTACCCTAGCCTGACGATAAGCCTGTTGATGCCTAAGACGCGGTCGCTGCTGCCTGCTCCGGTTTCTTTCTAGGCTCTTTTCCTATTGCACCACTTGCTACTGGTTCTCCTTGATTCGTTTTCCTAGTTTCTCCTTCCAAGCGTTTCTTCTGAACTGCATTAGAGTATGCACTCGAGCGTTGACCACCACAAACATGTTTTGTATGCTGATTTCGCGAAGGACCGCTTAAGATCTGCACTCCTTTTCTCTGCTTCCTGCTTCTCCTCTGGGTGCAGCTCCTGGATGGCGGCTCTGTACTCTCTGCATGTTCCTCCACCTGGTTCATTTATGTTATTGATCTCCCCGACGTGGTCGGAGGCTTGGGCCATGACTTTCTCATACGACTGAATGTGATTACCAAGTAGTTTTCCCAAGTGGACATTCTGATTGTGAGTTTTTTCGGCCTTCGCATGGGATGAGAGTTCAGTGGATCTAGATTTAGATTTAAGCACATCACCCATCTTGCTATGGGTCGCCACCAGCTGCGTGAGATCCTGTTTGCATGTCTCCTTCTGATTCTCACCAGCATAAGGGGCTAGGCTTGGACTGAGAAGAGCCTTCTCCGAGCAAAATGGCTGCGGAATTACCCCCTTGCCACAGGCTACTGCCGCTGAAGATTGCACTGTTGCTACCTGAACCTTGCTCATTGGCAGATGCGTTGATCCAGTCCTTTCCGCAGTGCTTGCACCACGTCCACCTCCATTTGTCGCGAGCGCAACCGCAAGCAGAGCACTTCCAACCACCACTAGGCCCAGGCAACGGTACCATGACCCTACAGGCAGTAGGAAACACAATCGCTGTAGGTAGTAATTGCGGGGGACCCCCAATACAGTACACTGAGAACTTTTAGGGCCGCTCCTCCCTATGCCACGAATCTCTCGTCCTGGGCCTCCCGCCACGGACTTGAGCCAAAATTGCTACGAAGGGCTCGCCTCCTCCTCCTCCTCCTCCTTCTCCGCTTCCTCTTCCTCCTCCTCTTCCTCCTGGAGGCCCTGGTGCCTTCCCCAGCCGTGTTACTCGGAGGTTCCCGCCCGCACCGCAGGCCCCCCCTCTCTTCTGGCATCCGCCGACGTGCTTTCCTTCAAGCCGCGTCCCAGGAGCTCCCGACCTCTTCTCTCGGGCGGGTGGCAATGGGGGGTGACCTGAATGGGGGGAGAAGAGGATGGCCTTCTCAGGGTCCTTTCCTTCACCTCCCATGTAGGTCACCCCTCAGTATCACCCGCCCGATTCTCCTCAGGGTCATGCCTTCTTCGCCTGCGATCCGTTCTGATGATCCCAGGGCCCCGGCGCACGGGCCACAGCGGCCGTAATCGAGGAAAAGCGCCTGGGCTGAAAACGTTCGAGGAACACACACAGTAGCAACAGACATTCTCGGAGGTGCGCGGGGCGCGTAGCCGCGAACGTGTACATTTATGTTGTTCACCAGTTTCCTGAACATTACATATTGTGTGCGCCTGCAGGTCGGAGATGAGTCCGGTCTATTGGGCAGGGAACGAGGGAGGGTCACGGCGCCAGCGCAAGACAATGTTGACCGCAACCGCGGGGAACACATCACCAGAGCAAGCAATACGATACTGACCATCGCCGCGGGTGACCACTCCCCAGAGCAACACGATCCTGCCCTCGCATCCTGTTGTCCCCTCTTGCCTCGCTCTCCTGTCCGCTCCTGATCCCCAGGGTGCACGCAAATCGAGTCGCTAGAGATCTGGCCCCCTGCCCCCGCGCGCGCGGCCCCCGCGCGGTGCTCGGGGCGATGATCTCGCGCCTGGAGCTGGCCACGGGGCGCGGTGGGGCCGCGCTCGGGCGGGCGTGGCGTGGGCCGCCAGGCTCTCCCCCCCGGTGGCGCAGGGGGGCAGGGGGGGAAGGAAATGGAGGGAGGGTACAGTCGGGGCCTTGAAGAAGGAACGCTTTTCGTTGGGGAGGGGCTCGGTGTTCCTTGATTGTTTTACAGTTTGCCTCGGGCTTTCCTGAGGGCTTCCATCGGAAATCGATGTTTAACTTATGAGCAAAAGGGGCCTCGTTCCTTATTTAGGGTTCCTTAGGTCAACGCCCCGACTGTAGCAGGGACCAGGGCGGCGGCGGCGGGCGGCGGGCGCGCGGGCGAGCCAGCGGAGGCGGGCGCCTGGCCAGCGTTCGCCTTTGCCTGCCAGGTCGTCGCAGGCTCGTTCGGCGTCAGAGGGTGGGGCGTAGGAAGGGCGAGTGCACACGCTGTCCGCAAGGGAGGGGTGGGGGGAGGGATGGAGGAGGAGGAGGAGGAGGAGGAGGAGGAGGAGGAGGAGGAGGAGGAGGAGGACCAGTGTAAACCCAAAACGCACCACCGATATTGCAATAAAAACTCCCCCCAAGTTTCCTCTTCACAGGGCCCGAGAAGAATTGATCTGCATTGCGGTAATAGCCCATTTGGAAGACAACCGTTTGAGAATCCTCAATCGTGCCAAAACACCGTTCGTGGGACTTCAGCGTCGCGAGTCAACATGATTGTTGTGCCTTGACAGTCCTAAATCATGACAGAGCACCGCTCCTAGGACTTCAACACGGCGAATCAACGTGACTGTTGCGTATGGACGATCACGAACCTTGCCAGAGCATCATGCTTGGGGCTTCGATCATGCGAATCCTTGAAGCTGCTGCGAACTTTCCAAACGAAAGCGCGCGGCGCTAAGGCGAACATACTTGAACAAAAAAGATACCAATCCGTGACTCGGTCGTACTCTGTTGAAGCGAATTCCCACTGGCCAGGCGAGAGTACCATGTTGAACACAGGCCGCCCTCTATCCGTGAGATGTGTGCAATAGTTTAAGATGAATGTGCGCGGCGCTAAAGCGAGACATGCACTCTGGAAACGATCTGTCCTCCATCCGACAGTGTGGCGCAAGTGTTGCATATGTTAAACTGTATGTGCGCAGCGCTAAGGCGATGGCCACATTTTTAAAACGAACCGCCTTGCGTCCGTGACGTTGTTGCACATTCGAGCCTCAGTGTCACACATGGTGACGCAGTCTTAAGCGAAACGCCTGGCCAGTCCTGCCCACACGTTTGGGGGCTCGACATGGGCAGGTTACCTATTAGGAAAAGGTATGGAAGGAGAAGGAAGAGTACGAGGAGGAGGGGGAGGATGAGGACGAGGAGGAGGATAACGAGGATGATGATGATGATGAGGAGGAGGAGGAGGAGTTTTAACACGCGTGCTCGGGCGTGCGCAAGCGTGCCAGGGGTCTCGGCACTCTGGGCGGGCACGCACCGCGCGCGCCCGCGGGAGGGTGGGCCCCTAACCCTTCCGCTGGGGTCCGCTGCGGCCTAACCCCTCGCCGCGCTGGGGACCTGTGTGGCCTAACCCCTCGCCACGCTGGGGGCCGCTGCGACCTAACCCCTCGCCACGCTGGGGTCCGCTGCGGCCTAACCCCTCGCCACGCTGGGGTCCGCTGCGGCCTAACCCCTCGCCGCGCTGGGGTCCGCTGCGACCTAACCCCTCGCCACGCTGGGGTCCGCTGCGGCCTAACCCCTCGCCACGCTGGGGATCGCTGTGACCTAACCCCTCGCCACGCTGGGGTCCGCTGCGACCTAACCCCTCGCCACGCTGGGGTCCGCTGTGGCCTAACCCCTCGCCGCGCTGGGGTCCGTTGCGACCTAACCCCTCGCCGCGCTGGGGACCTGTGTGGCCTAACCCCATCGCCACGCTGGGGACCGCTGTGGCCTAACCCCTCGCCACGCTGGGGTCCGCGGCGGCCTAACCCCTCGCCGCGTTGGGGTCCACTGTGGCCTAACCCCTCGCCACGCTGGGGTCCACTGTGGCCTAACCCCTCGCCGCGCTGGGCCCGCTGTGGCCTGACCCCTCGCCACGCTGGGGCTGGCTGTGGCCTAACCCCTCGCCTCGCTGGGGTCCTGCTGCTCCTGCTTGTCCCGCTGCTGGCGCCAGGCTTTCGTCTCCAGCGTTGGTGGTACCCGATGCAGTCCTCATCATCTTCGACGAGGTCGTGATCGTCGATGTCCATGGTGCTGCGTCCAGCTGGCGGGGGAAGGGCACCCCTCTGCATCCCTTCTGCGCCACCTCCTGGGGAGCTGTGGGGCTGGCCCACGTCGCTGTGGCCAAACCCCTCGCCACGCTGGGGTCCGCTGTGGCCTAACCCCTCGCCACGCTGGGGCCTGCTGTGGCCTAACCCCTCGCCACTCTGGGGACCGCTGCTTCCTCCGTTGCCGTCGTCGTCCACCTGCGGGTCCACGCCGAGCACAATCTCCGCTTCCTCAGGGTCCTGCTGCTGGATCGCTCGCCGCGACGCCCCGCTGTTCGCGGACGTGGACCATGGACGTGGCACACTTTTGGACCATGGACGTGTCGTGGCACACCTTTGGACCATGGACGTGTCGTCATTGAGCGGCTCGGGCCCTGGGATGGTGTCCATGGCCTGGTCACTATCTGCTCCTTCCAGTTCTGGAACTTCGCTGTCTGGGACTGAGTAGACGTCGTCCAGGTTCTCTGGCGTCCAGGCCCAATACCCTTCCGTGTTGCTGGGAAGTGGCCTCCTCTCAGTGTTGGGGATGTTGTGCGCCAGGATGTTGTCCTTCCTCCCCCGGAAGGCCTCCAAGTGCGCCCTGGCTGCTAGCTGCCTGGTCCCGTGCGGGAGGGAGAGCATGTTCGTCATACGCCTCCTGCGCGCTCTGTGGGTGTTCCTCCAGATGTCCTCGCAGAAGCCCTTCAGCTGCTGGAACTCCTACGGCGTCACTGCCCTTGTCTGTTCTTCGATGGCTGTCCTGCCACCTACGTTGGTGACCGCCATGAGCTAGGGAATGCAGTGCTCCATCCAGTCGTCCATGTCGTCCCAGACTTCCTGGTCCACCATGTTCACCCACTGCTCCGTGTACCCTTCCATGTGGTCCGCGAGCCTCCAGCTAGCTTGGACAACTGACTGGGGATGATGTGTGGGCCACTGAGGCTCTGGCTGGGCTGCGTCGAGCTTGGAGCTCTCAGCTTCTAGGTCTGTCACCTCCGCGCTGCTCGTCCCCTGCCTGGCGGCGCCCAGGCTTGTTGCCACGGGAGCTGCTTCTTCGGTGTCCTCATCATCTGGTGTGACTTTGCGTCCTCGGTTGGGCAGCCGTCCCTTCTGCATGTCATCGATAATTCTCCTGCAGGCGGCCGTGGGCGGCAAGCAAGGCTTGGCCAGCATTCGCGCTACTCCTGCCACGATCCTGCTGTGTTGGTTCCCGAGGTAGCTTGTAGCGCCGCACTTCTCACACCACAGCCAGCCTTGCGTGAGCTGTGTCTTGTGCGTGTCGTGGTCCACCTGGGTGCCAATCTTGACCGCCTTCAAATCGAGCCGCTGGTTGTCGTGAAAGTCCAGGTGGCAGCGATCTCTCCCTTGGCACGTTCCGTTCTCTGCTAGCCATGCTCGTACATTCTGCCCCTTGTCTGGCCCGCTGCGGTTGGAGACGCACCACCAGCGCGGGTGGAGCTTCCGCAGATCCTGTCCAAGTTGGGCTGCTTTCTCTTGGGCTGTCGGCGGCTTCCTCCTCTTCGCTCTCCCCTGCTTGTGGACCTTGTTGGGGTCCTTAACCGTGACCGCCATGTTGATCCCGAGCAGTCTGTTCTGGACGGCCACCGCGATCTGGTCGCAGATCTGCTGCTTGGCGATGGTTGCTGGGTCGAGCGCTCCATGGCCGTGGTGCCTGCACCTCCCGAGCCGTCCGCGAAGACGCCGCTTGTGCCTCCGCGTTGGTGCAGAAGATCTGCGCTGCCTTGGCGGCGTCCTCATCTGCGTTGCATCGGCGATGCATTGGCGATGCGACGCGATCCTCCGACCCCAGCTATTGCGACCCCATTTGGGAGGCCTCTAGAGAACGAGGGGGGGAAGGGGAAGGATGGGCCTCAACGGCGCGAAGGAAGGAAAGGAGGGGAAGGATCCAAGGACAAATACCTCCATAAGCATACACGTTCGGGAGCTCCGCGCGGATTTGCTGGACCTACGTTGGAGCCCCCTGGCGGCGCTTCCGGCGCCGCCCCTGGCGCTCTCCGCGCGGCAGGGAGGGGCGGCCAGCGCCGATCCAAGAGTTCCGCGCGGAATTCCTGACAGCTTATGTTCATGCTTTCTTTAATTCTCAGGGCGGGGGAGGGTTTGGGGAACTCCTGGTATGAGAGACAACGGGAGTCCTGAATATGGACGAGAAGCCAAACGCTTGAGGGGTTAGGCGGCTAACTTGGCACCTTCGGCTTCTACAGCGTGCTTTGGCTGGCCGCCTGGTTGCCGATGGCGGCCTCCGGCTTCACAAACAAGGTTCTGGGTCGGGGCTCAAGTGATGGGGGTCGATGCAAACGGGGGTCAGCCAGAGCGACGGATCTTGCAGGATCCTGCAGGGCCAGGGGCGCGCTGACCCGGGCTTGGGTGCAGGATCCTGCAGGATCCTGCAAGGCCCGACTGACCCGGTTTTGCACTGACCCGGGCCACTGCGTCCCCGGCCGGGCACTTCTCGGGGAGGGCGAGCACACACCAACGGGCCAGCGTGGATCCGAAGTGAGCGCCGTGTGCCGCGAGGCGAGCGAGAGGCTGCTGTCGGGAACTTTGGCTCAGCGTGTTGCGCCGCGGGCTCTGGCCCACCATTGGGCGACGAGATCTATACACATCCACTGCTCCCTGGCCAGGCCCACCCTGAAACCAGCAGCTGCGTATCCGCCCTCCTGGCCAAGCCAGGAGCGCGTGGCGCATACACCGCTGGCGGGTTCAGGATAGGCCTGGCCAGGGAGCAGTGGATATGTATAGATCAGGAGGGAAAGAAACACACAGACACAATTAATCGGCGATTCCCAGAAAATATGGGAAAATATGGGAAGTGGGGGGGAAGACAAAAACCCATAAAATATGGGAAAATATGGGGAATCTTTTTATTTGTGTGTATTTATTTGTGTGTCCTGGGGCCCCTTCAATAGATCTCGTCGCCCTACCACCACGTCTCGGCGCGACGCGCCAGCCACGCCCCAGCCCCAAAGAGTCGTCCACGTCCCGAGCCTCTCCCCAGCCCAGCCCCCCCGCCCCGCGCAGCGCAGCGACGCCCCCAGCCGCTCGCGGGGCACGGCGTGTGGCCGGGGTCGCCGCCGCGACGCGCGGGACGGAAGCTCCTGACCGTACGCCCAAGTCGGGCCTCTCCCCCTGCAGGGAGATTTTCGACGAAAAACAAGAAATACCCCCAAAATAGTAAAAAATAATCCAAACATAGTCTGGGGACTTTTTTTTTCCCCCCCCTTTTTTGATTATTTTTGGAGTATTTTTTTCGTCGAAGATCCCCCTCTGTAGGGGGGACAGGCCCGACTTCACCGTACGCCGGAGCGGCCCCAGAGTGGCAGACGGCGGGAGGCGTGCAGCAGCCTACCCGCGACCGCCCGTGGGCCGGGGGGAGGGGGCGAAGGGGCCGACCCCCGAGGCGCGGGGGGGGAGGAGGAGGAGGAGGAGGAGGAGGAGGAGGAGGAGGAGGAGAGAGGATGAGGAGGAGGAGGAGGAAGAGGAGAGGAGGAGTAGGAGGAGGAGGAGTAAGGAGGGGAGGAGGAGGAGGATGAGGAGGAGGAGGAGGAGGGGAGGATGAGGAGGAGGAGGAGGAGGAGGAGGAGGAGGAGGAGGAGGAGGAGGAGGCGGAGGAGGGGAGGAGGGAGGAGGAGGAGGAGGAGGAGAGGAGGCGAGGAGGAGGAGGAGGAAGGAGGGAGGAGGAGGAGGAGGAGGAGGAGGAGGAGGAGGAGGAGGAGGCGGAGGAGGAGGGAGGAGGAGAGGAGGAGGGAGGAGGAGGAGGAGGAAGGAGGAGGAGGAGGAGGAGAGAGGAGGAGAGGAGGAGGAGGAGGGAGGAGGAGGAGGAGGAGGAGGAGGAGGGGAGGAGGAGTAGGAGGAGGAGGAGAGGGGGAGGAGGAGGAGGAGGGAGGAGGAGGAGGAGGAGGAGGAGGAGGAGGGAGGAGGAGGAGGAGGGAGGAGGAGGAGGAGGAGGAGGAGGAGGAGGAGGAGGAGGGAGGAGGAGGCGGAGGAGGAGGCGGAGGAGGAGGCGGAGGAGGCGGAGGGCGAGGAGGGCCCCCGCGCGGCGTGGAGCCCGAGTCCCGGACGGGGCGCGCGGCCCGCCGAGGACCATCTCGGGCCGGCTCTGGGCGCCCCGCGTGGGCGCTCGAGCGGAGGGCCTCGGGCCAGGGCGGGGAGCGGAGGGCCCAGCGGATGCGTGCCCCGTCGGCGAAGCTGATGGAATTGTTTTGGGCGCGCTTGTGATCGAGGTACTCATTCAGGTCTTCGTGCGCCTCTGTTTCCATCATCACCGTTCCTTGCGACGCAGTCGGAGGGTCCACTCAATATTCCTCGCGGCGCCCTCGGGGAGTCCATCCTCCTCGTCTGCCAGCGTTGGAACTCTACCCGTAACGGACCCTGTACCCGGACCCAGAGAACAGACCCTTCGCGTGAGAAAGGCCTGTCGCTGCTTCTCTTCACGACGCCAGGATCTGGTTGGATCCAGGCGTCCAACGCCCCGATGTTTCAATCCCCCAGCCTCCCTGGACCTCCCGCCCCCTTCCCAGGGACCCGTGTTTTGTCCCGGGATCGGCGGGCCCAGGACCCGGAAAGCGGGCCTCCTGAGGCCGTCGGGCGTTGCATAATGGGGGGGGGGGGGCGACAAATGGGAGGGTGAAGAAATGTGCATCTTATATGCTCTAAAGTTGTCCTAAAGGGCTCCCTGGGGCATCATCATCAGCAGCATCATCATCAGAAGCATCATCATCGTCATCATCACCATATCATTCAGAAGGCGCTGGCCTCAGAGGGATCGGCTCAGCATCACCGCGGAGTGGCGCCAGCAGGATGGCTCGAGGAAGAAGTGGCTCATTGGTTGGAGACTCTCGAGCAGTAGCAATTCGTTTCGTCAAAGGTGAATCCCTGCCTGCGTCCAGGAGCGGTGTGACAGTCCACCATATGTGTGCCGCTCCCCACACGCCACCAGTTTCTTTAGACACGCCAGCGCCATCCCAAGGCACGCCCGTTTCAGCGCCCATGGCAAGTACAGCCCAGCCAGTGCTCGTGTCGCCCAGCCTGCCAGCGCAGGTTGCGCCACTTTCAGACTCTGTGCTTTTCCAACGCCCGCGTGCCACTGACGCTTCGCCAGCACCCGTGCCTGTTTCTTTGCTAGCGCCAGTTGAAACCCCTTCAGCGCCATCGAGTGCGCCCGACCAGCCGAGTAGCACGCAGGCCCCGTTTGAGTTTGACGCCGAAGATGAGGCGGCACACTTTCTCTTCTTATAGATGTCTTCCGTTACGAGGCAGCGCAGCGCAGCCCCCCTGTGCCAGCACCCTCGCGACAGCGGCCCAACGAACGGGGCTTCACGAGTTCCATGGCACTCTGCGGCGGATCATTCTTTTTTACTATTGCAAGCTGGCTCCAGTTTGATTGGTCCTGATGCCGAGTAAAAATCACCATCATCATCATCATCATCATCATCGTCATCATCATCATCACCATCATGGTCATTGTCGTCATCATCATCACCATCACCAGCATCGCCATCATCGCCGTCAGCGTCACCATCATCATCATCATCATCAGCATCATCATCATCATCATCGTCAGCATGGTCATCACCATCGTTGTCATCACCATCGTTGTAATCATCACATTCATCATCATCATCATCATCACAATGATCATGACCACCATCATCATGATCAGCATCATGACCATCAGCTTCATGATGATGCTTATCATCATAAGTATCATAATCACCATTGGACCATTACCATCAGCCTTGTCGTCATCACCATCGTAATCATCACCGTCATCAACCGCAGCATCATGAATCACCAACCTCATCACCACAATTATCATTCACATCTCAGCATCATCATCACCACTACCAGCAGCATCACCATCACCAGCATCATCAGTATGGTGGAGCTCCCGTGCCATCGATTGGGAATGTGGGCAAGTTTCATCAACGGTCTTTCACTGCGTTTCCTCAAACAGTGCTTGCACTTCTGGGGATTTTATTTCTATCACTAAAGACTTGCCAGCCGTGGTGACGAGGGCGATTCTGCAGGAGGCCCCCGAAGCGGGCAAAAAGGTTGCAGAATCTTCGATCCCGGATACCAGATTTCCCGATCCAGGGACCTCTGGGGGTCTCTACAGTACAGGTCTCCAGGGGTCGCTGGATCCAGTCGCCTTCGGAGGCTTGCTGCGTTTCATCCGGCTTTCGTTCAAAGCCTTTGGAGGCCTTTGGAGGCTTCTTGAGGCATCAGGCGGCTCAAGCGGGCTCGCTTGGGGCCTCGCTTGAGTGTCGAGGATTTGGGACTTGATCCGATCAGGAGCATCTCAGATCCTCGACCCCAGGCCGCAGGGGTTCTCGCACAGCGCCCTTGCCCCTACTCCGCCTCCTTCTCCTCCTTCTCTTCCTCCTCCTCCCCCTCCTCCCGTATCAGCTCTATCGGGCCCAGCGAGCTTGGATTGCTCGGAGTATTTCTGTGCAGTGGTGGTCAGTGTAGTACATGCGCGATAGCGATGCAAGGCCCCTTGGACGCCCGCGCCGAAGCTTCTCGAGCATCGGACGTAGCCACAGATGGACCAGAGAGGCACGGATGCACGGGTACCCCTGGGAAGACTACCCCTCCTTGGCTTCGACTGCATCCTCGACCCCCGGTCGATCGAGGGGCCACCCGCGGCAGCGCCGGGCGCCGGGCGGCCTGGCCGCCCGGGCGAGGGGCAGGCCCCAGGGCGGCCAGCCGCGGCTGCACGTGAGAGCCCGCGCCGGGCGGCCTGGCCGCCCGGGCGCTCCGACCGAGTGGGCCGCGCCGCTCGAGGAGTCGAGCACTGGCGAAGCGTCCTGACCTGCCAGCTGTTTTTTACATTCTTGTTTCGCCGATCGGCGCGGGCCACTGGCCCCCCCCCCCCTTTCCACAGACCAGATCTTGGTTGCTCTTGGTGGCTGGTTTCTGGCGGCTGGTCAGGACGTCCCCCCCAGCCTCCTTGCGCGATGAGTGCAGCAGATCGACGAAGCACTGGCCCAGACTCAGACCATCCCCTTTCCCACCCCTCGGCCAAATGTCGCAGCCCAGACAAAAAAGCGCTGACCGGCCTGCAGGCCCACTAAAGAATGTTATGGTGATTAGATTGCGAAACAGTTCTGGCTGAGACCGTCTTGTGCTTCACTGCGTCGGCTCGAAGTTCTAAGGACACGGTTTTTGCTCTTAGACAACGGTTCTGTTATGAGAGAATTTCGCGGGAGGCCTATTGGGATGCCGAGACGGTCGGTCCCTGCTCAAAGGAGTGCAGAAGGAAGAAAGGGAGAGTGCAAGGCTACCGCGGCTTTAGCATCATGGAGCGCTACCGGCGCCTGCGGCCGGCCCCGGAGGAGGCCGGCCCCGCGCCCTGGGCTACGCCGCCGGAGTTCGCTGGCGGCGGCGACGGGCTGGAGGATTGAGTTCCCTCCTACTTCTCCCCCTCCTCCTCCTGCGTCCTGCTTCGTTCCTTACCTCCCTCATTTCTCTCCTCCTCCTTCTCTTGTCGTCCTCCGCCTCCTCCTACTAATGCTTCTCTTGTCCTCCCTGGGGGAGGAAACGGAGCGAGTGATACACATGACATACAACAGATACACTCTAAGTTTGCTCGGTAACGGGGACGGTGCGCTTCGGGATCCCCCATTTGGAAGAGGGTTGGGCGACAGGACACAGCATCTAAGCGCTAAAGAAGCAGCCCAGCCATCGTGGGGCTGGCCTGAAGCTAATTAATGAGATGGCCTCTAGAGTTGCTCGCCGAGACCTTCGGCTTGCATGGTCCGAGGGTGGGGTCGAATTGTAGGGCGGGAGTGACGACGTTTCTACGGTGTTCTCGTCTCATCCTCCTCTCATCCTCCTCCCGCTTCTTCTGCTCCATCTCCTCCTCTCCCTCTTCTCCCTCTTCTCGTTCTCCTCTCGTCCTCGTCTCCTCTCTCTCTCTCCTCATGCCGATCGTGAGGTGGGCCGAGCGATCCCGTCAAGTCCGAGACGCGCATCCAGACCACCCCAGAAGAGGTCTGGACGGCCCTCAAAGGGCCAGCGTGGAATTTGAGTTGAGGCTGGTGCCCGCAGGCATCCGCACCTGGGCAGCAATCTGCTCCCCACAGGGGTTGCCTCGAGACCAGCGTGGGCGATGTCCTCCAGCTGGGGCCCCCCATGTTTTTGTGGTTAATGCTGGCGCACGTGCCGTCGCAGGGGTGATTATTCGTTATCCTGGTCCCTAACTGAGGGTTCACTTTAATCTGGTTGCAACTTCGGAGATCGTCCCGCAGCGCGCGGTTCAGTACAGCTCCTCCCCCTCGTCCTCGTCCTCTGAACCTGCTCCCCTCTCCCCCCCCTCCCTTCCTCCTCCCTGCTGGCCCCCCTCCCTCATCTTTATCCCTCCTCTCACATAGACTCTGGTCTCCTGCCGCTTCTGGGTCCCCAGGGGCGTCAGGGAATCGGCCCCAAATCAGAGAGGCAGGGCTGTGGAAGGAGTCGGGCGCTCCAGGCGCACGCGGCTCGAGCAGAAAGTGAGCCGCGGGGATCCACCAAGAGGGGGGAACGAGAGGTGGCGGAGGATGGATACGACCACCACTGCTGCGACCATCGCCGGCACGACCACCACAACTACGCCCACTGTCACGACCACCTCCGCGACCACTCGTAGACCACCAGCACGACCTGCACAACCGCCCCCGACCCCCGCCCCTCCTGCATCCCCCTCCTCCCCTCCCTTGCCGGGCCGCCCCTGCCAGAGCGCGCCTCGCGCCTGTCCCCCTTCCGCCCCCCTCTCCTCCTCTGGCGTGGACCCCAGGACATCGACCCCAATGTCCGTGTGTCCCCCTGTGTGACGAGGGTAGGGGCCCATTCGGGTGCCCCCGGGCCGAGCAAGGGAGGGAGGGAAGGAGAGAGAAGGAGGAGGGAGAAGGGAGAGCTCGGAGGCCCCCAGGAGGAGGAGGAGGAGGAGGAGGAGGAGGACGAGGAGGAGGACGAGGAGGCGGAGGAGGGCTCTGGAATCTCTTTTGAAGACATGCTGAAGCCGGCCCAGGAGTAGGAGCAGCTGGCTTGGCCAGAACAGCCAGACGAGTGCCCGGATCAGCCACAAGATCTCCCAGAGCTGGCGCCTTGCCACCCCTGCCGCCCCGCTTGGTCCAGCACAGCCTGCCCGAGGTGCGGAGCATCACAAGAGACATCTTTTCACCAGGTCTGGGGGTGCCCCAAAAGAGTGAGGCCCTGAATGGCTCAGCCAATAGCTCGCCGAGCAAGCCAAGGGTGAGGTCCAAGAGTGGCCCTGCTTCTAGCTCAGAGGTCTCCGTGCCGGCGTTGTAGACGTACCAGCATGCGACCCTCCCGATCCAGTGACAGCAGGTGTTGGGAGGCGAATTTCAGGGCAACTCGGTTTTCCCTCTGGACCACTTCTCGGTTTTGGCCGCCGAGGGTTCGGGTGGCAAGCGCTATGAGGATGTCCGTCTGCGTAGGTGTGGTTGGAATTTCGCCATTCTCTGAGGATGGGGTCTGGCGGCCTGGGCACACGGCCCTGTCGACCACTGGAAGCACTTTGTCCCGATCGCAGAGGTCATCTTGACCACGAGGGCCGTCCATCTCACCAGCGGCCCGACTGTGCTAGTTCTGATGCGCAGAGTGTCGCTGATGGGAGTAAGAAGGGTCCGAGGAGCCACCATGAGCATACTGTGCGCCTCTGGTCGCTGTTTCTGGAGCATGTCGGGGACCGCCCTTTTGGCAGCTCACGCAATAAAGTCGCACCTCACAGACGAGCAAGCTGAAGTGAACATGGTTCCTCAACCACATTGGCTCGCGAACGTGTGCGCTGATATACGTGTGCCGAGGAGGGAGCGAGAGTCGCCCCACTGCCAGCATCATCTATCAGTGAGGTAGCGAGGACAGACGCTCTCGCAGCCACAGTGCAGAGGTGCCTGGTAGCAGTGGGAGAGTACATCGCGTGCCATGCCCCAGAGATCTACGGGGCCTCTTCAGAGACTTCACAGACTGGCAGGCAGCATGAGGCCAAAGGTAGAGCGACTGGGCGGAAAGCTAAGAAGGAAGCTGCAGTCGGCCAGTCTCAGCACCTACTCGAGACAGGTACGAGATGCGTTGTTCTTGTAAGATGTGCCACAGCAAGCCGAGTGCAGCTCTTCCCCACCAGACATGGCTCGCGTCCGTTTGCCGAGACTACCCCGTGCAGCTCGACCCCGCCCACAGGATAATGAAGTACCGCCATTTCTTCTGGTGCAGGGCCTATCGCACTGGGCCAGTGAGGTCCGCCAGGCATCCGCGCTGCCAACCCTATCTATCCACTACCTCCTCCTCTCCTCCTCCTCCTCCTCCTCCTCCTCCTCCTCCTCATCCTCTTCTTCCTCCTCCTTCCCAGCCCCCGCGCAGGAGGCACACGCGCCGTCCGCCTCCTCGTCCTCCGCGCCGCGGGCGGCAGCGGGCGACGGGAACCTCGCCGGGCCTCCGCGCAGGCCGCCATCCTACGCGCGCGCGGCGGTTCCCATGGAGGCCGGAGGGGAGGGGTCGGGGGAAGAGGTGCCGATACCGCCACCCTTCCCGCGTTTTCGCAGCGCGGCGGTGCCCGTGGAGGCCAGAGGGGAGGTCGGAGGAGGAGAAGCTGCCCGTGCCGCTGCGCTTCCCTTGTCTTCTCGCCGTCTTGCGCTTCCCGGGAGGCCCTCGTCGCCACGGCTGGATTCGCGGCGAAATCCTGGTCAGAGAGCACCCGGGGAGAGGTCTGGGGAGCAGCGGTTTCGGTGCATTCGGATTTTCCCGGAGGCATGTGGGGCGTGGATGGGGAGAGGGGGAGGGGTATCCGAGAGGATGGGGACGGAACAAGAGAGGGCAGAATCAGGACAAAGTGGATGAGGGGAAATGAGGAGGAGGAGGAGGAGGAGGAGGAGGAGGACGAGGACGAGGAGGACGAGGACGAGGAGGAGGAGGGAATCGATTATGTTATCGCTGATGATGGTGGTGGTGATGATGATGATGATGATGATGATGATGCTGATGCTGCTGATGATTATGATGCTGATCGTGATGATGATGGTGATGATGTTGCTGATGGTGATGATGATACTGATGCTGACGCTGATGCTGATGCTGATGCCGATGTGCATCATGCTATTGGTGATGCAAATGCTGCTGCTGGTGCTGCTGCTGCTCATCAAGATGAACATGATGCTGATTCGGATGATGGTGATAATGATGATAGGGACTACAACGCTGATACTGAAGGCGAAGACGAAGAGGTGCAGGGGGAGAATGCGTGAGGAGGCGGAGGGAATGCAGAGGAGGAAGTGGGTGGAAGAGTTTGACGGGGACGATCTTGGAGAGAAGAGAGGGACTTGGAGCCGACGAATGCCAGAAAAGGAGGGTGGAAGATGAGGACGAGGAGGAAGAGGAGGAGGATGAGGATGAGGATGATGAGGAGGAGGAGTTGGAAGAGGAGGCGGAGGAGGAGGCGGAGGAGGAGGAGGAGGAGGAGGAGGGGGAGGGAGGAGATGAATGGAGGAGAAGGAAGGAGAAGGCATGAATATGATGAATTTGAGGAGGAAGAGGATGTGAATGCTGATGGTGATGATGCTGCTGTTGATGATGATGGTGATGAGGAGGAGGAGGACCCACACACCAGAGTCAGTACCAAAACGAAAGCCCCATCAGCCGACGAATGCGACGAACACGATGAGGACCTCGACGCCGAAGAGGAATATGGTGAGGGTAAGACGGCCCCAGGGCATTATCGTCGCCCCCCGCCGCTCCGTAGCCAGAGCCGGCACCAGCTCCCCGAACGGCTCCATGTCCTCCACGGCGACTGGGAATACTACCGCACGGCGGCCGTGCGCCACCAGGACGCACACGCGGCCGTCCTGCACTTCGGGGTCGCCGCGCAGCGACCCGCAACGACCGTCGCGAAGGCGAACGCGGTCTCCGTCCCGCAGGCCCGAGAGGCCAGGGCGGCGAGGGGGCCTCCGCGAGGGCAGATCGTCCACACGCTCGTCTTTCATGCCGTCGTTGTCGGCAGCGGGATCGAGGCCCGCCAACTCCAGCGCTCCCGCTCCGCCAGGCGGGCTCGGGCCGCCCTTGCTCATGCTTTCATTTCGTTGTGCTGTGCTGCGTCGCCCTTCACGGTACTCCCTGCCATGCCCTCACTGCCTCCCTCCCACCGCTGGCGCCACAACGCCCTCTCCCGAACGGCCACCTCGTCCACGAGGGCGACGCCGCCGCACAGCAGCGGATGGCGATGCCGCCTCGGCGGAAGGCGGCGCCACCAGGACGGCCACGGCCGCACGCACCGAGCAAGCCCTCGGCAGCGCGGAGGACGCCTCACTGCACTCCGCGCCGCCCGGCAGCCCCGTGGCGGCGTGCACCGCGAGGGGAGCGCATCGCGCTGCTTCGGACGATACCGCGCGGGCACACTTCCTCGGCAGCATCGGGTTCGTTGCGGGAGGCGGGCACGACCCCGCATTGCGAGCCTTGAGTCCAAACCATTTGACGTTGATGATGATGACGAAGATGATAATGAAGATGATGAAGAAGGTTTTGATGATGATTACGATGGCTACGATGATGATGGTTATGATGATATAGATGATGAGTATGATATGATGAGTATGATGATGACGATGAGGATGTTGATGATGATAATGATGATGATGATGATGATGATGATGATGATGATGATGATGCTGATGGTGATGGTGATGGTGATGGTGACGGGGATGATGCGGGGATGGTGATGGTGGTGATGGTAATGGTGCTGGCGATGATGATGGTCTTGATGTAGTTGATGGCGATGGTTATGTTGGTGTTGATTGTGATGGCGATGCTGCTGCTGACGATGCGAACGTTGGAGCTGCTGCTGGTGATGAAGATGATGCTGGTGCTGATGATGATGCTGGAGATGATCGTACTTACAATAGTAATCATTATGATGACGCGTAGGATGAGGCTGAGGATTATGCTGCTGATGCTGACGATGATGATGGTTGTGATGATAACGAAGATGGTGGAGACGAAGACGAAGAGTAGCCAGAGGTGGAAGGAAGACAGAGTAGGACGCGGGTAGAAAGGTTTGATGGGGATCACCATGGAGAAAATAATAATCATGATGATGATGACGATTACGGCGATGGTGATGGTGATGATGGAGATACTGACGATGGAGATGGTGATGGTGATGGTGATGATGGTGATGGTGATGATGGTGATGGTGATGGTGATGACGATGTCGATACGGATGCCGATCATGATGTTGATGATGGTGGTGCGGATGATGACGACGTTGATGATGAAGATGATGATGCTAATTATGATGATGATCATGGTTATGTTGATTGTGACGATGATGCGGTCGATGATGCTGATGATGCTCATGATGGTGATGATGATGTTGTTGATGCAGGTGGTGATTGTGCTGATGATGGTGGTGGTGTTGGTGTTCATGATGATGGCGAGTATGAGTACGATGATGATGACGATGATGATGCTGATGATTATGCTGATGCTGATGCGGATGATGATGATGATGATGCTGATGTTGATGTTGATGTTGATGTTGATGTTGATGTTGGTGGTGTCGATGCTGCTGATGATGATGGTGGTGATGCTGATGATAGTGGTGATTATAACGATGCAGATGATGTTGCTGCTGCTGCTGATAATGATGATGATGATGATGATGATGATGATTGTAATGATGATGATTGTAATGATGATGATGATGATGATGATGATGATGATGATGATGATGATGATGATGATGATGATGATGATGATGATGATGATGATGATGATGATGATGCAGGAGGAGGAGGAGGAGGAATATGAGGAGGTGGAGGAGGAGGAGGAGGAGGAGGAGGAGGAGAAGACACTTTCCGAAAGCAGGGGTGGCGCGGCGGCGGGAAGAATCGTTTTATATCCCCCCCTGCAGAGCTGGCGCACGAAGGGAAGCGAGCGCCGTCACTGAGCAGCACCTCTGCTCGTGCGTGGACTGCTGCTCGACCCGACTCACACCAATGCCTCTAAGGCCCCCAGCTGGCAATCCCGGAAACCTCGGGAACGCTGGACTTGATGCCCCTTGGAGTTTGCGTTTTCACTTCCGCCGGAGTCCGCTGGCCTCTGCCGACGAGATCACGTCTGTCTTGCCGTCGCCAGCTTCCGCCATCCTGCGGTCGACTCCCGCTGGCTGGCGAGAGTCCAGCCCTCTGCCTGGAGCTCCCAGCCCCGGAGGCGCGGGTGCGCACCTGGGAGCCGCCCGTGCAGCCCTCGGACCCGCGCTCCCTGGTGGTGGGGCTGGCGGGCCCCCCTAACGCGGGCAAGTCGTCGCTCCTGAACGCGATCCTGGACGCCCCGATCAGCGCCGTCTCGCCGAAGGTCGGCGGGCGGAGGAGGCTGGAGAGGTCGGCGGACCGAGGAGGCTGAGGAGGAGGAGGAGGAGGAGGAGGAGGAGGAAGAGGAGGAGGAGGAGGAGGACGAGGAAGAGTAGGAGGAGGAGGAGGAAAAGGAGGAGGAGGAGGAGGAGGAGGGGGAGGAGGAGGAGGAACGGTCTGCCCCCGCCGCCTTTTCGTCATCGTCCGGCTGCCTGTGGCAAGGCCCGCCACCGTGCCGACCCAGCAGCGTGTGCGGCGACCGTTCGAGGGGGCCCGGGATCTGAGGTCTCCGTCTCCGTCTCTGAGGTATCCTCCGTCTCTGAGGTATCCTCCGTCTCTGAGGTATCCTCCGTCTCTCCTCCGTTTTCTCCGTCTCCTCCGTCATCCTCCTCCTTCTCCTCTTCCCCCTCCTCTTCCTCCTCCTCCTTCTCTGTCTCTTCCTCCTCCATCACGCACGCACGCCGTACTTTCCCCCCCGACCGTTGCCCCAATTCACACAGGCACATCCACAGGCACGCGTACACACACGCATGCTCGCACCAGAGTAACCACAGCAACCACAGGCGACCACTAGGCTCGGAGAGGCAACCACTAATCCCGCTCTCCGCGCGAGACGCGAGTTCAGGCGAACTCTCTGTGGGGAAGGCGCTTGGGGCCCCCTCCCCCCGCGCGATCCCTGGCTAATCGTCTGTGGGGGGGGCTCGTGCGGCAGCAGCAGCAACAGCAGCACCAGGAGGAGTGGGAGGAGGAAAAGAGGCAGATGACGTCGAATAAGGGGAAGGAGGAGGAAGGAAAGGAGGAGGAGAAGGATGGGGACGAGGCAAGGCCAGCGCGGTAGACCAGCACGGCAGACCAGTGCGGCATGACACCGCGGAGTTCTTTGGCGTGCTCAACCAGACGTTATCTGACAAACTTTGTGGACAAAGCGGCGGTTCCCGTTCTTGTCCCGTCAGGTTCAATTCGAACTGGCCGTTTCGCTCGAGACATCTTCGAACCACGACAGTTCGAAGAGCTTGGTTTGAGACGTCGAGGCTCGAACATAGCGATGTCGCTCGAGACATCCTCAGAACATCGAACTGTCGAATGCGCTCTACTTGCTGCGTCGTCGTGGAACGCTCCTGGAGGGCTTCAAAATGGCCGAATGCAGCTCCAACGGGCGCCCCAGAGAACCCCGAGAACGCCCAAGCACACCTCAAGAAACCCTTCATTCAAGCATGATCGTGATCACGGGGATTATAAGGATGATCCTCCTCCTCCTCATCATCATCAGCCGCATCATCGTCATCATCATTACAATCATCATCATCATCATCATCATCATCGTCATCATCATCATCATCATCATCATCATCAGCATCAGCATCAGCATCAGCATTCGCATCATCATCATCATCATCATCAGCATCATCATCATCATCAGCATCATCATCATCATCGTCATCATCATCATCATCATCATCATCATCATCATCATCATCATCGTCATCATCGTCGCCATCATGGACATTATCAGCGTCATGGCCATCGCCATCAACATCGTCGGTGTCATTGCCATCTTTGTCTGGCATTTGGTTCGCTGGGCCCCTCCGCCGTCTCGCGGCCGTGGGCTTGGCTGGGGCGTCCTCGCCCACCAGCTGGCTCGCCTGCAGGCGCTGGCTGCGAGCTCTCCGCACTCGCCATGGCCGCGCCCGCCGCCCTTGGCTCTTCATCCAGGCCATAAAGCGTTCCTGCGCCGCCTTGGGCACTTCGCGGAAAAGGTGCGGCGTGGGCGGTTCGGCGTCCGTCATCCTCTCCTTCCGCTGGCGAGGTCTCCCCCCCTGGGTGCAAGCTTCGGCGCCAGAGGCTGAGCTGGTTGCGCCCAGACTTGTCAGTCCTTGTCCCTGGGCACTGATCCTTGAGCCTGGGCCTAGAGCCCGATCGCCCTCCCAGGACCACGTGGGCGCCGCACTTGGTGCAGGCCAGCAGCTCTTGCTCGTCGTCGCCGTCGCCGCAGATCGCGTAGCCCAGGACGTGACCGAGGACTCCGGAGGCCACCACTCCCAGGCCCAGGTCGCCTTGGGCGTTGGCCGCCGAATGCGCCCTGCCGAGGTGGCGCCGTTTCGGCTCCTGTTCGTCGAGCCCAATGCCGCCGCTTGCCGCAGCTGGCTCCTGGAGGAGGACGCACCGCCGAATACCAGCGTCGGGCAGGCCCTCGTGTCCTTCGCAGCTCTCGGCCGCGATGCTCTGCCACAGCACCGAGGCCTGGCCGCTCCTGCGCGCGAGCCCGCAGCCCAGCGCGGTGACCCCGCCACGCTGGCCGCCGACGCTGTGCTGGCAGTCGGACTCGCCGACCCACGAAGTCCAGCATCACCTCGAGCTCGCCCAGGCCATCGGTGCAGCCGTCGCCGAACCTCTGGGTCTCCTTGGCACTCCACATGCCCGGGACGGCCTGCCTGGTGCAGTGGGCGAAAGCCTGGATGGCGTAGGGCACTGATTCTCTCGCCGCGTGGATCCTGCCCCACATGTAGACGTTCGGCCTGCGCGGCATGGCGGCGCAGGCCTTCGCGCCTCGACGTGGAGGTCGGCAGCCCACAGGCTACGCAGAGGGTGGCCCTGATGCGGAAGCGCTGCCTGCCCCGCTGCTGCCGCCGCTGCGACTTGCGCAAGCAGCCAGAGGGCGATCATCCATGGCGTCGGCGGCCAGCTCCTCCGCGCAGGCCTCGTTGACGCGGGGGCCGGCTGCTTCTCGCCTCGCCTCGACGCTCGGCCTGCCCGCGCTCCTGGGCTGGCGGTGGGCTCCAGGAGCCGCTGGCCTTGGGCTCGTCGGCGGAATCCTCGATCTCTCGCTGACCATGTCCTCCATGGGGCAGCCCTCGGCCCACGGCGCCCCGCGGCGCCGGGCACGCTGGGGCGGCCCCGCCGGCGGCTCGCGGACCGCAGCCACCTGCGTGAGGGCCGCGGCCCACGCGGACTCGAGGCTGCTGTTCTGCCAGGCCGCGTGCAGGCCCTCCAGCGGGGTGAAGAGCCCTGGCATGCGCGTGGCCCCTGCCCGTGCCGCGACACGGCGGCGCTCCTCGGCCCCCCCATGCGTCACGCGCCTCGTCCTCGAGGGCCCTGAGGTCCCGGATGGCCGTCTCCATCTCGCCGTCGAGGGTCGCGAGCTCTTCCTGCGCCTGCTGGAGGCGCGCCTCAGCCGCATCACGCGCTGCGCACTTCCTTGCGGGCGGCGTTGAGCCTCCTCTCGGTCCGCTCTGCCGCCCATGCCTCCTTGCGCATGCGCGCTGCTCTGGGCAGCGCCGACCTCTGCGGCGGCTCGGCGGGCCTTGTCCAGCTCGCCGCGCTTGACCTCCAGCTGCCCGTCCACCATGACGGTGAAGCAGCGGTCGACCCCTTCTGGCGGCGCGGCCAGGAGCGCCTCCAGCTGCTCGACGGACGCGTGGAGCCGCTCGACCTCCGTGGACCCTCCGCTGGACGGCGAACCCCTGCCCCGTGCCTCTCCCCGCGCTGGCCTTGCTGGTGCTGGCCCCCGAGGCCTGGGACACGGCCCTGGCGGCCCCGCACGCCTGGCGGCGGGCTCGGCGACCCCGCGGCCGCTTCGCCCGGCCTCCGCTGTCGGCCCTGGGCCTGGGCGGCGGGGGCCGCTGGGCCTGCTCGGCTCCCGTGGCCCACGGTGGCGCGCTCGCTCCGCGGCCCAGGCGCCTGCCACGCCAGTCCCCCTTCCGGCCGCGGCACCCGCTGCACACCCGGTGCCTGCTGCCACCGCCTCTGCCGCCGGGTGGGGCCGAGCGCGGCACGGCACCCGCCGCGCAGTACGGTGAGCGCCGAGACACCTCTGGACAGAGGAGCGAGCAGGATGCTTCCCTTGGCCCAAAGCGCGGAGACCCTCGCGCTCGAAGCGCCGCCAACGACTCGCGTTCGTCGGGTGCTCCATGGCCTTGAGCCAACATGGCTACGGAGTGTGCTGGTCGGCCGTGCTGGTCTGCCGTGCTGGTCTGCCGTGCTGGTTTACGTGCTTGTGTGGTCTCCTGTGCTCCTGTGGTCTGCCGTGCTGGTCCGCCGTGCTGGTCTGTCGTGCTGGTCTGCCGTGCTGGTCTGCTATGCTCGTGTGGTCTGCCGTGCTGGTCTACTGTGCTAGCCTGCCGTGCTGGTCTGCCGTGCTGGTCTGCCGTGCTGTTCTGCCGTGCTGTTGTCCTCTACTCTGCTCCTGTGGTCTGGCAGGCTGGTCTGCCGTGCTAGTCTGCCGTGCTGGTATGCCGTGCTGGTATGCCGTGCTTCTGTTGTCTGCTACGCTCGTGTGGTCTGCCGTGCTGCTCTGCCGTTCTGGTCTTCCGCCGTGCTGGTTCTGGTTATGGTTCTGCGGGGCCTATAAAGGCTGGAGGGCACCACTGAGGCGCCAAAGCCCGAGGCCACCTCTGGGCCGCACCCAGAGGGCCTACGAGGGCCGTCCCCGTACAGAGCAAAGCTCCAGGAGGCACAAAAAGAACCCCGAGGCCCAGAGGCGGAGCACCTTGGCCCCAAGGGAAACCCAACCTCGCTTCCAGTGGTCTTCCAGGGTCTCACGTGCTGTTCTGCCCTGCTGGTCTGCCCTGCTGCTGCGAAAGTGAAAGTGAAAATCGGGGCCTTAAAGGCTCAAGGGAGTACCCACCACTACACACGGGGAGGCCACCGCGGCCAGGGGACGGCGGAGGCGGGCCAGCCGAACGCGCGACTTGGGCTCCGCACACTCCACGCCGAGCCGCCCCCCCCTCCGAAGAGCTCCTCGAAGACCCCTCGGACCCGAGTTGAACTCGACGGGAAATCGAAAATCAGGCGAGCCGCAAACGTGCACACTGACAGGGACAGGAGGCCTGGCAAGAGCAAACACGAGAGGACAAGCAACGCGCTTCAATGGCCTCAAAGCAACTCGTTGGAAGTGGCGACATTCTTTATCCAAAGGTCTGCGGCCGAGCCCTGCCGATGGAACACGAACAGCTGCGTGACCGCGTGGACGGCCTCGACAGTGCCCATGGCCCGCAGGGCGCAAGGGCGCGCTGGCCTGCCGCTGGAGCACCTGCACGAGGTCGAAGAAAGCATGCCGCAACGTCTCCCTCGGCTGGTCTCGACAACGAGGCGGCGGGAACCTGCTCACCGCCTCTGACAGAGCCCGCGGCCCGCTCCAGTCCCGCGCCGCGGGGAGTGCAGACTCCCGAGAGCACGGGGGCCGGAGACCGTGCCACGTCGCGCTCGCGGGCCTTCGCAGCTGCCGTCCCCCTCGAAGACGCTGGAGAAGCCGAGACGCGTGGCGGCGCCGGACCCTCCTCCACGGGCGTCGAGTGCTGGACCTCCGCCGAGCCGCCCGCGGGCGCGCCGCCAGCCGCCGCAGCGGCACTCGCGCCTGGGCCCCCAGCGCCAGCCGCACCGACACGAGGATCCCCTTGGTCTGCACCAGGCGGCGGGGCTGCGGCCGCTCGAGGAGCCCGAGCCACTGCCTCGCCGAGCGCCTCCGCCCGCGCCGTACCTACGAGCGTAGGCCGGCACCCCCTGTGCTGCAGGGCGCCGAAGGCGCGGAGCAGCGACTGGGCTGCTCGCGCCTGCGCCCTCATGGCCTGAGCCCGGCGCTCGGCCGCCGAGCGCCGTGGGCGCGCTGGCACGCCGGCGGCGAGCCAGGGCGGGGCCGCCATCTCGCGCCGCGAAGGGGGAAAGCCGCGGAGGAAGGGAGGAGGCCCGCGGGGGGGCGGCAGCCGGGGGCCGCCTAGCGCGGACTCGCAAGCCTCCGCGCCAGGCGGCGGCCAGAGCCGAGTTGGCGCTGCCCTGCTGCTGTGGTCTGCTATGCTGTTGTGGTCTGCCGTGCTGGACTGCTGTGCTGGTCTTCCGTGCTGGTCTGTCGTGCTGCTGTTGTCTGCCCTGCTACTGTGGTCTGCTGGTTGGTCTCAGCCTCGGTTCAGCCCGCCACGCCCGGTTCGAAAGATCACGCCGCTACGATTCGAACGGCAATGTCTCGCGCCCCGCTCCGTTCCGCTCGCCCAGCACACACCCTGCGCACACACGAGCACACATGCACACAGCTCCACACAGCCGCACATACAGGCACATGCACAGGCACACGCACATACACGCACACGCTCTCACACACACGCACAGGCAACATACGTTCACGCAGACCGCAGGAGCACGGTAGACCAGCACGGCATGAAAGATCAATGTTGCAGACCACCTCGCACGGACGCACATGCACAGATTCCACGCGCGCACGCGCACGCGCAAACGCACGCACGCCACGACAGACCTGCGCGGCAGACCAACACAACAGAGCACATGCTACACACCTAGTGGACAATAGCGATGCTTCCCGTTCTTGTCTGGTCAGGTTCTAGACGGCGCCAAGATGATTCGACCGATCTCCCATTGGACTTTGGAGAGTTCGGTATAATCATCTGGCGTGCACGTCGTTGCTGCGCTGGCGCCGTGTCTTGATATGCGTGCAGGGGGCCACTGGATAAAACGCGGACGGTGTGCAGACACAGCCCTCGCTCTCCCCTCCTTTGCCGAAGGAGCAACCTTACGCTTGCACCTTTCCCTCGGCCTCTCCCTTCGCTTCTCTCCTCTCTCTCTCTCTCTCTCTCTCCTCTCTCGCTCTTTTTTTGTTGTTTTTTTTCGCTCTCTCTCTCTCTCTCTCTCAGGGCATCTCGAGGTCACTCGCGGCGACCGTGCGGTCCAAACTTGAGTGGCGCGTACGTGTGGATCTGATCCAGGTCTCAACAGAAGCACCAGCACGAACCTGCCCCTGAGAAGTTTCGACCACAATATGGCGGCCGACGGAATCTAGCACACGTAGTGTGAAATACACAGGAAAACCCGCATGCACATACCCGTGCAGCTATACCACGCAAAACGCATGTACATTCAGTGGTACGGTCCTGTAGGCAGGCGTGGCATCACCAGATTCGCGCGTCTTTCAGTCCCCCCGCCCCAGGACCCCGGCCCACACCCACCGCGAGGAGCGGGAGGGGGGGAACGGGAGGGGGAATGGATGCAGCGGTTAGGGGGGGGCGGGGCGGGAAGGGGGAATCACACGGCGCTCAGATCTGGGTGCGGTCTTCAGCACTTCACCTCCGCCCATCTTCCTTGTGAGTGTATCTTCCCTGCCGCAACACCAGACGTGTCGGTAGGGCGGGCGGGACTCTTCTCCTGAGATTCTTTCACCGCTCATGATTCTTAAGCTTGAGAGTTGCAGCCGTTTTCAACATGCGTTTCACGGTTTGGCGCCGCGCGCACTTGTTTTGAAAGTTAGCAGCAGCTTCATCGATGGAGGGCTGCCCGTTTCCGAAGTGTGGTTTTCGCCCAAGCGCCGCGCACATTCGTTTTGAAAGCTTGCAGCGGTTTCACGGATTGAGGGGCGGCCGTTTTCAAAGTGTGTTTCTCGTTTCAGCGCCGCGCACATTCGTTTTGAAAGCTTGCAGCAGTTTGATGGAAGGAGGTACGGCCGTTTTCGAAATGTGGCTCTCGCCCGAACGCCGCGCAGTTTCGTTTGAACATTTGCAGCAGCTTCAAGGATGGAGGGGAGTTCCTTTTCAAAGTTTTCCTCGAGTGTTAGCGCCTCGCACATTCATTTCGAATTGTTGCAACTTGTTTCAAGGATTCGTATGGTTGAACTCGCAGGGATGGTGATGGTAATCTGACGCGGCTTCAGGATGCAGGAATAACATATCTTCGCGGCGTTGAAGTCCTCGGAATGGTGTTCTGGTCCGGCTTAGGTTTGCCAATATGCAGCGTTCACTGAGACTCGCGGCGCTGAAGTCCCAGGAACCGCATTATGGCACGACTGAGGATTCACAAACGGCTTCCTTTCAATGGGACACTTCCCGCCATGAACATAACTTCTTGTAGGACCTGTCAGGAGGAAATTGGGATGGAGGTCTACTGCAACATCGTTGATACCTCTTGGGTGTGCACTGGGTCTCGCTCTCCTCCTCCTCCTCCCCGTCCTCCTCCTCCTCCTCCTCCTCCTCCTCCTCCACCCTGTCCTCCTGCTCCTCCCGCCCCTTCCTGCTCCCACTCCTCCTCCTCCTCCTCCTCCTCCTCCTCCTCCTCCTCCTCCTCCTCCTCCTCCTCCTCCTCCCCCTCCTCCTCCTCCTCCGCAGTCCTGGTCCCCGTTTATCATTAGTCTCCCCCATACCTTGTTGTCCTCCTTCTCCTCCCCATCCCCAGCCAGCCTCCTCATCTCCATCCCCGTCTTGTTGCCGCCGCGTCTTCTCCTGCTCGTGCCTGTCTTCAGCCACCTCTCGGCTGGCAGACCAGCTTCCGTTCCTGAGCTGCCCGTCGCCCGCCGATGAGGTCAATACGACTCGCGACGGAGTCAGGGGGATCAAGACCATGGGCGCGCGGGGAGCGAAACCATGGGGAGGAGGAGGAGGAGGAGGAGGAGGAGGAGGAGGAGGAGGAGGGAGGGAGGAGGAGGAGGAGAGGGGAGGAGCCAGTTGCGGGAGGTACGCATTGGCCTCGGGTAGCCTTCGCCAGGCGGACCTGGAGGAGAAGAGGAGGGAGAGGAGGAGGGAGGGAGGGAGGGAGGGGGTGGGAATGGTACGCCCCGAACATGCGTTCGAGGACTGGGATCTGGATTTGGCAGGAGCGCTGGCCTCGGCTCGCCATCCCCCGCGCGGGCTCTGCGAGCCGCGGCTCCGACGTGCCACCGAGGCCTCCCCGTGCCGACCCTGCTCCGGTCCAGACCCGAGCGGGAAGGAGGAGGAGAGAGGGAGGAGTGGAGGAGAAGAGGAGGGAGGGAGGGAGGGAGGGGGAGGGAGGGGGGGAGGGAGGGAGGGAGGGAGGGGGAGAGGGAGGGAGGGAGGCAGGGGAGAGGGAGGGAGGGACGGATCGAGGCCTCTGGACGTCCGCGGCCCTTGCTGGAGGCCTCCTGCGGCCTCCGGTACGAGCCTCCTCCGGGGACCTCTCGGGCAGGCACGGGGCGAGGGCAGAGCGCTCCCGAGCGCTCCGGGGCCCTCCTCGGAGCGTTCCGCGAAAAACGCTCTCCGGAGTGGCCGCGGCGCCCGATGCATCCTCCAGGCCCGCCGGTTCTCGGAGATTCCCGGTGCATCCTCGTCCGAGCTCAGCCTCGTCCTGGCTTCGTCGTGCAGCCGAGTCGCTGAAAGAGGGAGCAGTTTGGGCAAGAAAGAGGCTCGGTATATTCCTCAGGTCCTTCTGTGGCTTTTCCTCTGGCCTTCCTCGTGCACGCAGGCGCTTGTGGGGCCCACAGGGGGCTTCGTTCCCTGTTCCTCGTTCCTTCTCTCAGCAGCCCGACTGTGGCTGGGCGGAAGCAGGAGCACCCGCGACGCGCCGGGAGCAGTGCTCGGCGGATCGGCGGCGCTGCGGAGGGGAGCGAGCGCGGGGAGCACTCGGGGGGGGGGGGGCGCCCGGTCTCACGAGCAGCATGTGCCGTTGTGCAAAGCGTCCGTGCCAACACGCTGCGTGTTGGCTCGGCACGTGTTGGGCCACCCTTTGCAAGGGCTCCCCCGAGGGCGCGAAGTTATTCGCGCTTCGCGCTTCGCGGTCCTCGTTCCTTCTCCCCCTCCTCCTCGTCCTCCTATTCTCCCTTTGGGAGGGCGGCGCGAGAGCGCGAAGTTATTCGCGCTTCGCGCTTCGCGGAGCGCGAAGCGCGAAGCTGGGAGCCCTTGCTTTGGCACCCTTATCGCGCCAGGCCTCCAGTCGAAACCGATGAGAAGGATGGGTAAACTTCTCAAGGGCACCCTTGCATCCTTGCCTCTTCGGTCCATCCTTCATCCCTCTAGATGGCCAGCCTCGCTCGAAGAGCCTCGACATGGACGTCCAAGGCCCTGGCCTCCTCCTCGCGCGTCCGTGCTGCCAGTTTCGATTGCCCGGCTTCAGTCTATATACGTGTTCAGCTCCGTGCCAACGCGCTGCGGGCTCCGTGCTGCGCATCGGGGCAGCAGGGCGGCGGGGGGGGGGCTGCCCTGGCCTCGTCTCCAGGGCCCCGCGCGCTCGCCCGTTGGGGCGCCAGCCCCAGCAGCCCGATGGCGGAGGCGGGCCGGCCTCTCCGCCAGCGCCCGCGCAGGGGTCTCCCGCTGTCGAGGGAGCGCAGGCGTGGAGCGCGGCGCGTGGATGGGCGGTGGGCCCCCGCTTCCGTGCACAGTCGACGTGCACAGCAAGGATAGGCCAAGTTCCCAAGGGAGCCATTGCATCCCTGCCTCGCCGGTGCATCCTTCACCGTTTTCGAGGGCCAGCCCAGGGACTTGCAGCCTCATCGCGCATCCTCACTGTCAATCTTGACTGTCGAGTCGGCGAGCTCCGTCTCCGAACCAGGCGGCACTCGCGCCATGTCTCGGTGGAACCCCTCCCCGATCCCTGGATCCGGCGCCCACCAGCCACCGCGTCGGCCTTCGCTTGCACTGCGCCGAAAGCAACGGCCGCGTTGTTCATAGACGGCCTTCCCTTACACTGCGCCGAACGCAACGTCCGCGCTTGTGGCCAGAAAAGCTATGGCCCGGTAGGGACTCGTGGCCCCGGCGGGTGCCCGAGCGCGTGCTTATTGCCGAAAGATAAACAACATGTGTAAACCGAAACTTTCGACGGTCCGCGCGGATTTCTCGGATCTGCACGGCCTTGGCAAAGGGGGTGGCCCTCGGAGATCTCCAGCGTCTCTCCTTGTTTACCGGAGGCTGGGGGTTCAGAGCGAAGCGTCGTGGAAAGACGAATGATACAAACATGATTTTTCGGCTGTCCGCGCGGATTTCTCCCATCGGCGCTGGAGCCCGCGGGCAGTGGATATGGATGAACATCTAGCCTGTAGGGTGTAAATGTTTATCCATATCCACTGCGCCTTCTGTGTATGGGGATGGGAACTCGAAACTCCAAGACGCAGTGGATGTGAATACATATCTTGTCCGCACCACGGCGGAGTACAGTGGGCTTTTCTCTTGGTCCCTCGCAGGCACGGCCCAGCTGGTGTTCCTGGACGCGCCGGGGATCGTCCCCTCACACCAGCGCGTGCAGAATCGTGAGCTGGTCTCGAAGGCTTGGATGGGTTACCAGGAGTGCGACTTGTGCGTTCTGGTCATCGACTCCGTGAAGCGCCCGGACCAGCAGATCTTCGACGTGGCTCCCGCGAGGGGAGGCGAGGGAGTTCAGCCTCCTCATATTTCCTCATCTTTCTTATCCCTCTCGTCCTCTCTCCTTCCTCCCACCTTCCTCCTTCCTTCCTCCCTCCTCTTCCTCCATACTCCTTCCACCCCCTCCCCCTCGCACTACCCATCTCCTTCTTGGTCCTCGCCGTCATCGTCTCGTCGTCGTAGTCGTCGGGTTTGTCGTCGTTTCTGTTGGCGTGTCGGCAACGCTTTCGTTTTGTCTTTGTCGTCATCGTCCTGGCCCCCATTCTCGCCGCCGCCGTCGTCGTCGCCCTCAGTCCCGAAGATCAGCAGCCCAGCCTGCCTTTGCGCAGCAACCCTATATCCAGTCCTCGTCCTTCTCCTCTTGCCGCTCCCTCTCCCATCCCCCCCTTCGTGCTGCTGCTGCTGCTGCTCCTTGTCATCATCCCTCCAGTTCTCCCCGAAGCCATGCGCTCCCCACCTCGACCTGCGTCGGAGGTCTTCCGGCCGCTCCCTGCGGGGAGGCCTGCCTGGCACCTCCCGCCGACCGCGTTTCATGACTGCCACCATGCGCAGCAGTGAGCAGGCATACTGACCGGTGCACGCTGGTGGCGTTATTCATGTGCCTGCGGACACGCGGCTTCATCCGTTCATTAATTTACAACAGGGCTGGACCTAAACGGTGTTTTTGCGATTTCGTTGGCCGTTTTCGTTTCGACTTCGTTTTGCGGCGGATTGAAGACAAAACGAAGGAAAACGAAAACAAAAAGAAAACGAAAAACACCATTTAGGTTCAGCCCTGATTTACAACTGACAGCAAGCGGAATGACTGCCCCTGCAGCTTCGCCTCTCGGGCCCAAGGGCCCATCCTCAGCCACAGGTGCCCAGTCCGTTGATCCGATGCCGCCGCGGGGATCTCCTCGGGGGGCGTCCGAGGGCCCTCGCCTCCTGCGTCCTTGCCGTGCATCCTGATTGCACTTGGGCTTGTGTGTTTTGTGCGTGCGTTTCTGTGTGTCTGTGTGTGTGTGTGTGTTTCGCCGCAGCCCCTGCCGCCGTCTCTCCTGGTCCGTCTCTCCTCTTCGCTTGCTGCCTGGCCCAGCCTCGCTGCTCGCCTACGACTGTGAGCGTTGTGGTGCTGCGCATGCGGCGGCCGACTAAGAAGTGAGTATCCGTGTTCCTGTGTATGGCTTCAAGATTTGCGCAGCACGTTCCAGAATGTGCGAGTCATTTGCACTGGGGCCGAACCTCCTTTTGGCGTTCGACCCTCGGCCCAGGGCTTGTAGACCACAAGAAGATTGCAAGTCAGAGGTCTTGGCCCTCCAGCCGTGGAATCTTGTCTCTACTGCGTCCCCCAGGACCTCGAACACCGGTCAATCAGGACATTCGGTCCTGGAGCGCACAGTTTTCCTTGGCTCTGCTGTGGCTCGAGGTCAGTCTCAGGTTTAGGCTGGCGCTCAAGCGGGCAGCCGCGCCCCCCCACGTGGACCCGAAATGGTTTCTGAAAGATGTTCAGCGGTCGAGCTGCCAGGTTTCCAAAAGGTTTCCGAAAGGTTTCAAAGAAAAATGAAGAAAAATCAGCGGTCGAGCTGCAGGGACGGCGCCAGGGGGGAGTGCGCAGTGGACAGTATTTGTATTTCGCTCCGTCGGCGTTCTGTTTCATCGCGCTTCGGCAGTGTGTGTTGGGACGGTGTGGAGCCTGACAGACCCTCTGCTTTTGCGTGTGCCGCAGTCCCCATCCCATACACCTGCATATAGTTCCTGCTCTTGTTCTACCCCTTTCTCGTTGTTGTTGAAACCTGGCCGAGCGTACGGGAATTGCTCCAGCCCCGCACTGGTTTTGCGCTACCCCTTCGTTTGCACGATCAGATCAAACGCCTCTGCAGATGGAGTTCCGAGTTAAGCGTGTGTTTTCCACAGCTGGGCAGCACGCACATATGCAAAACAATCAGTTGTCTTGGCGCAGCCACGGCGTGGAGTCTGATTGGGACCTTCCCAAGTAAGCGTTCCTATGATAGTCTCTATGTACTCAAGAAAGAACTACGTGACCTACGTGGTCGCCCGGCGAATCCCCTACATTCAGAAGTGTACGAGGTTTGATCAATGATTACCGTGTGCTGCATCATATGGCGGAAGCGAATACAGGTACGCAGCATGTCCTGCACCCTCCCCGAACGTGTACAACATGAGCTGGTTGGTACGACCACCACGCACTTGTTGCACGTAGTGCAGTTGTACGAGCTCAGTTCCCAAACCGTGCTTGCACTTAGGGCTTCTTGGTTGCCTTACCGAGGAATTGGACGGGTCCGCCGAGGCTTCGCCACCTTGCCGCCTGCTGGTGCCTCGTGAGCGCCCCCGTGCGTTGGGTGGGTCCGCCGAGGTTGCGCTGCCTTTCCGCCCCTGGTCGTCTCGCGGGCGTCCCGTGCGCCGGGTGGGTCCGTCGAGGTCTCGCCGCGTTGCCGCCCGTGGGCGCCTCGTGGGCGCCTCGTGGGCGTACGCTGCATGGCTCGCACCACAGAGATTGCACCACACAGTTTGCACCACATAGCTTGCACCACGTAGCATAACATCTAGGTTGCACCACGTAGCTTGCACCGCACAGCCCACAGCAGAGTGTACACCACATGTGTAAAAACATGTGTATCCATGTGTGTTTATATATATACACACATGTATGTTTGGCGTGTGTGTGTGTATGTATAGCTATTGCGCTACGCAGCTCGCCCCTCACAACTCACACCACATAGATCCTACTTCGGAGATCGCACTACATATTTGACACATCCACGGTGCATAATCTCGTTGCTTGGGGTCCACGTTGCCAAGCATGTTTTGGTGTATCAAGGGCTTCACAGGTAAAACTCTGGATTTTGTTCGAGTTTGTGTGGTTGTGTTGTGTTTTTTTTTTTGTGTGTGTGTGTGTGTGTGTGTGTGTTCCACGCTGCGTGGGCTGGCCCAGCCTGCGCGCTCCCGCTTGACGTGCCCCACGCTGCGCCGCCGCGTCCGTGGCCGCGACGCCAAAAGTATGTGCGTATGTTTGTGTTGCACTCCTGGCGAAACTCTTCGTTATGTGAGTTCCCTTCTTTCTCCCGTCCTCTGCGGCCGCTCTCTGGCCCCCCTTCCCCCTTCTTGCAGCCCGACGATCTGTGCGTACCGAAGCTCAGTCCACTCGAGAGCGCGTGCGGAGCGTCCCTGCCGCGCTGCGACGAAAAGTGTGCGCGCACGTGTGAAGTGGAAGTGCGTGTGTGTGTGTGTGTGTGTGTGTGTGTGTGTGTGTGTGTGTGTGTGTGTGCGTCTGTGATCGTGTGCGTGGCCGCCTCTCGACCTTCTACGCCTCGTTGCTGCGCGCGGGGCCGCTACGTCCGAAAAGTGTGTGTGTGTGCGTGTGTGTATGTGGTGTGCGCTTTTGGGGGGGCGCCAAGGTTCGCAGGATCTGCCCTAGGGAGGAGCTCGGGGAGGTCGAGCTCAGGCGCCGGCTGGAGCTCGTGGAGGATCGGGGGGCCACTTCCCCCACCCGTGACGCGGCGGTACCGCCCGCACTCCTTCTGCCCACCTCCAGGGAAACGTGGGGGGGAGGGGAGAGGAGCTAACAGAAACATGGAGAGGGGCAGTAGGGACGGAGAGGTAGACGGGGAAAGGGGAACAATGCATGACATGTTCGCCAACATGGGCCCTGAACAGTGTGCTTCTAGTAACCTGTATGTTGTGCAATCTGTGTAGAGCAGCCGATGTGGTCCAACACGCGTGTCGCAATCTAGGTTGTGCACCCCATGTTGTGTACTATATGTCTAGCAACTTCTGTATTGCAATCCATGTTGTGTTGTCCAGGTTCTGCAATACATGTTCTGCAATCTAACTGGCGCAGCATAGTTTACGCACTCTATGCTGAGCATTATATATGGTCCAGTCTACACTATGTGATTTATGTTGTGCCGTCTACGTTGAGCAATCTAGGTAGCGACATCTGAGTGGTGCACTTGATTTTCAACAAACGAGTTACCAATCCCATGCTCTTGCAAATATCCCACCCACCCGCCCGCAACTTGGTTTGCAAAACCCATGCGGTGGTGATTCCGATGCATGCTTGGCGTTGACTGGTGTATCTCTGCGGCCGCGCCACCCTGAGCACGCGCGCGCAGTGGCCAGCTAGTTTGGCGCCACCGACGCGGCCGCGGTGGCGCTGACCACTGGGCGCATCCCAGCGGGCACTTCATTGCGAGTCGGCGACTTGGGCGGGCGCGGTATCATGGCACCGTCGACAAAGGTAGACACGATGATGATAGTGGCGATGGTGGTGGCGATGTTCGCACCGACGAAGGCGCGGCCAGTGCGGGCGCCGATGCTGATCACGCCGACGACGATGACGTCGTCTTCGCGTCGGTGATGAAGGTTTTGGAAAGAGTTCGACATGCGCGCGCGGCCGACGCACGACAGTGGCCCGCATGGCTTTTTTGACGCGGATCGTGCCCCCCCCAGCACGCGCGCACGGGCGTGCGAATCTTGTCGGCATGCGGCGCCAGAGTCCCACATCGCAGAATTCAAGAAACATTCTGAAAAGCCGATGACTTTCTGAAGGGCTCGCAAGAGCGCGCGCGCAATTTTTTTGGAAAACGGACGCTGTGAAACCGTGTTCGTTTTTTTTTGTTGTTTCAATGTGTTTGGGACATTCGGTTTTGACATCGCTACCAAGCCGAATTTGTTTGAAGGGTTCCGGCATGCGCGCGTGAACACGCGCGCGTGTGCACTTCCTCCCGTTTTAGCAACAAGAATTCTCGCGACGGCACGCGCGCAAGGGCGTTCGAACGATTTCGACATGCGCGCGCGAAGCCCGTTCGATAGTAGTTTCTGCAAATGTTAAACACCTATGGGTTTTTATAAAAACGCAAGAGCGCGCGCGCACGCTTGTTTTTGAAAGTCCGTGTTGCGAAACCATATGTTCTGCGTATGTTGTTTTCACACTCGGTTTCGAGATCCTTTCGAAATCGATTTTTTGTTGTTGGCATGTTCGCGCGACGACTCGCGCGTGTTCACGTCGTCCCATGTTTTGCAAAAGTATATCATGATCACTCATAGTTGTTGGTAAACGAGTGCGCGCGCATATTTGTTTGCATAAAGCGCGGGGGGGGGTCGAACCCGGCTGGGTTGGGATGGTACGAGTTCATAGTTAGGATGGACGATGGGGCAGAAACATATGTACATTGCAGCATAAAAAGATTTACCGATGAAGCCAGAAGGGGGGGTAGAGTCCATTTTTTTGACAAGGAGGATATCGGTGGTGCAACCGACGCGGCGCAATCTATGTGGTGCACTATGTGGTGTGCAACGGTGTCGCGGCGACGGGGCAGGGCGGAGACGGCGACAACATAGCCGCCAAACCGCCAGCCAGGCCCAGACGGCGGGCGGCAACATGGCGGCGACGGTGCGGTAACGGCGACAGCATAGTCGCCACACCGACGCACAGGCCCAGACGACGGGCGGCGACGGGGCGGCGATGGGGCGGCGATTGCGACAACATAGCCGCCAGACCGCCACACAGGCCCAGTTCCCTGGAAAAGAGAAGTAAGAACCCCTGGGTGCAAGCATTGTTTGGAAACTGTTAGAAAACCTCGAAGATCCGCGCGGATTTCTCGGATCCCCCTGTCGTGGCGCGCGGAGCGCGCCAGGGGCGGCGCCAGAGGCGCCGCCAGGGGCCCCCGGCGCCGATCCGAGGAATCCGCGCGGACCTCCAAGTTGTTATGTTTATGTTGTGTTGGTTGTCCCCCCAGGGGAGGAGGGGAGCGAGCCTCAGAACATGAAAGACAGCATCGTGCTGCCGTGAGGGGCGGGGCCCCCTCCCCGAGGAGGCCCGTGCCGCCCACGGGGCTGATCGCTCGGACTGGCTGCCGCCCGGGTCCGCCAGCCGCGGCGGCGGGCGCTCAGCGGCGGGTGGGAACAGGCCCCCGGTGACGCTGGTGCTGAACAAGATCGACCAGGCTCGGAGGTCGAGAAATCGGAGGAATAAAGCACATACACGCAAACACGCAAACACACACACACACACACACACACACACACACACACACACACACACACACACACACACACACACACACACACACACACACACACACACACCACACACCACACCCACACCCACACACACACACACACACACAACACACACACACAACCACACAAACAACACACACACAATGCACACTTTTTGGCGATCACGGCCTCGCGGGCGGCGACGAATCGGAGCAAGTCGAGCAAGCGGCACAGAATTAACGCGCGCGTCCGGGCCCTGAGACGCTGGACCTCTTCGGTTCGACCGCCCATAGGCTACCCGGGCGTAGGTTGCGAGTGAGAAAATTTAGACACTCACGAGACAGCTCGCCGCTTGGGCCCCACCGCCAGCCCAAACGGCGAGCATAAATCGGGCGTAGCCCAGCATGCGTTCGAACATCCACACATCGTCCTCGTACTACTCGTATTCCTCCCCGTCCTCCTCCCCATCCTGATCGTCGTCGTTTCCTCCTCGTCCTCCTCATCCTCCTCGTCTTCCTCGTCTTCCTTCTGCTTCAGCTCCTCCTCGTCGTCCTCGTCTAGGACCTCGTCCTAGAACCTCCCCTCGACGGCTGAGAATAAAACCGTCTCCTATCGGTTGCGCCATAGGTTGCGCACTCGGCGGCCGAGAATAAACCCATTTCCTATCGGTTGCGCCATAGGTTGCGCCCTCGGCGGCCGAGAAGAAACTTGTCTCCGATCGGCTGCGCCATAGGTTGCGCCCTCGACGGCCGAGAAAACGGTTCGTCTCCTATCGGTTGCGCCATAGGTTGCGCCTTCGGCGGCCGAGAATAGAACCGTCTCCCATCCGTTGTGCCATAGGCATAGGTTGCGCCCTCGGTGGCCGAGAATACAACCGTCTGTCGTCGGTTGCGCCATAGGTTGCGCCTTCGGCGGCTGATAATAAAACCGTTTCCTCTCAGTTGCGCCATAGTTTGCGCCCTCGGCGGCCGAGATTTTTTTTTTTCTCAGCAGCCTGAGTGCGCGCAGCGCGCACGTCCAGCTCCTGCGTCGCAGGCCGCACGGCAGCCCTGTTGGCCGCCTCTGGAGTCGCCGCAAACGGCGGCAACTCGACAGGGCAGAGCGGCGGCGACGCAGCTGCGTCGCTGGCGGCAGCTCAGTAGAAGTGGAGCCCGCCGCGACGCCGTCACGCGAGTGGCCTCCCAGACGGAGCCGCTCCCCTCATGATCTTCTCGGCCTTCCTCCTGCGCTCTGCCTGGGCGCTGGGCTTGAGCGCTGGGGCACAGGCCAAGCCGGGCCCCCTGTGCTTGCCCTTCACCTCCGTCGCGTACTGGAAGCACTTCAGGCAGACGCGGTACCCGAAGTACGTGCGCAGGTCGTGGCCGCCTCCGTCCACGTCGAGCGCGCCAGAGCCGCTGGGCGGCGGCGCAGCAGGCTGGGCCTTGGCTCCCCCGTCGCCTGCCGTCGGCGGCTCCTCGTCAGCACGCAGGTCACCGTCACCGACGGATCCCAGACTCTGGCTCGCGCCACGACGCTGACAGGGAGAGGAGCCCGCCGACGGCTGCTCCTCGTCAGCACGCAGGTCACCGTCACCGACGGATCCCAGAATCTGGCTTTCGCCACGATGCTGAACGCCCTCGCCAGCACGCCGTCACCGTCACCGCTGAACGAAGGAGGAGCTCGCCTCGCTGCTGCATGCCTCACCGCTGGCATGGGTGGGCTGGCTCTCGTCCTCCACGAAACGGCGGGCTGCTGCCACCGCCACCGCGGCGGCTCCAGCGTGCGCCAGGGCCGAGGCGCTCGGCCGCTTCTTGCCCCCACTGGTGTAGGCGTCGGGAGCGAAGGCCTTCGGCGTGCAGCTCTGCCTTGGGAGGTTCTTGGTCGAGATGTCAGTGAAGGCCGACCGCAGGCAGCGCAGACAGTGGAGCGCCTGGACGCCCTCTGCTCCGCCCTTGATCTTGACCAGCTCGTGCTTGGTGATGTAGAGCCTGGGACCCTTGGACTCGGGCTCCCTGTACTTGTCACGAAAGTCGATCCTGAGGTCAGCAGCTTCGGCGCCTGCCTGCGATACCCAGAAGACCGCACCGTCCAAGGTGAGCCTCTTGTCCTCCTGACCTCGCGCGCCTGCAGCGGCGCCCTGAAGTGTTCCGTGACGAACTTCGCCGCTCGGTCAGCTTCGTGGTTGCCTCGCCGACTGCGGAGAGTGATCTTGCCCTCGTCCATCTCCTTGAAAGTCGCGTGGCCCTTGACCTTCCGCACCGTGAGGCCGTCGCTGCTGAGATCGCCGAAGTCGTCCAGCGCGTGCCAAATCCTGCGCCAGTTCTCTCCCCAGGCGGACGTATGCGAGGTAGTGGCCTCGCGCCCTCTCTCCATCAAGCCTTTGACCACATACTCGGCTTCGAAGTTGGCCATGGTGGGAGGAAGCGAGTGCCTGAGGATCGCGTAGAGCGCGAGCAGCTCTGCGCCGTCGATTGACTGGATTGGCCCAGGCACAGGGGCGCCCATGGCCTTGACACACGATCCCTTGCCTGGGTCTTCTCCTTCTGGCCCAGGCGGCAACTCGACTACTGCACATCCTGCCATAGCCAGCGAAGTGCCAGCCTCGAAGCAGCAGCCGTCGGCGAACAGCTCGGCGTTGATGAACGGGTCGGCGTCCCCTTTGCGCCACCGCGGCCCCCGAGGCAGGTCGTCCTGCGGGGGGCGCCGGTCGTGGCTGGGCTCGGGCAGCAGGAGCCGCTCGAACAGCGTTTTGATCGTGCTGCTGGACTCGAACTGCTTGAACAAGGGCTCCCACGAGGGCGCGAAGTTATTCGCGCTTCGCGCTTCGCGGTCCTCGTTCCTTCTCCCCCTCCTCCCTCCTCCTCCTCGTCCTCCTCTTCTCCCTTTGGGGGGGCGGCGCGAGAGCGCGAAGTTATTCGCGCTTCGCGCTTCGCGGAGCGCGAAGCGCGAAGTTGGGAGCCCTAGGTTTTGATCGTGCTGCTGGACTCGAACTGCTTGAGCTTCTCCAGCTCCTCAGGCAGCTCGAAACTGGGCCAGCCGTCGCAGCACTCCGGGTGGCGGTGCCACAGGGTGCCCCATCGGTTGCGCCATATTGGTTGCGCCCTCGGCGGCCGAGAATAGCACCGGCTCTTATCGGTTGCGCCACAGGTTGCGCCCTTGGCGGCCGAGAAGAAAACGGTCTCCGATCGGCTGCGCCATAGATTGTGCCCTCGACGGCCGAGAATATAAAACCGTCTCCGATCGGTTGCGCCATATGTTGCGCCCTCGGCGGCCGAGAATAAAGCCGTCTCCTATCGGTTGCGCCCTCGGCGGCCGACCGTTGCGCCATATGTCGCGCCCTTGGCGGCCAAGAATATAAAACCGTCTCCGATCGGTTGCGCCATAGGTTGCGCCCTCGGCGGCCGAGAATACAACCGTCTCCCATTGGTTGCGCCATAGGTTGCGCCCTCGGCGACCGAGAATAACATCGTTTCGTAACCGGTGCGACCAGTCTTTCCTGTTCAGTCCAGTTCACTTCAGGTTACCTCGCGAGAAACAAATTTGGGCTACGCCCGAGAACACACACACACACTCAAACACACTCAACACACACAGACACACACACAGACACACATACACACACACGCACGCACGCACGCACATACATATACATACATCTGTTTAAGAGGTTTGCGCGTTTCCGCCAACCCCCACAAGAGGTGGGGAGTACACGGTTGAGGCGTCGTGAGTTTCTTGGGCACTATTTGGGGACTATTGTGGGCGTCTTGGGAGCTGTTTCGGGGCGTGATTGAGCCTATTGGAAGCAGTTTTTGAAGCTTCTTGGGGGCCGTTTTGGAGCCTCTTGCATCTTAGATGCCATTTGGGGCTTATTCGGGGCCGGCCGCTTGGGGGCTTCTTGAAGCTTTGGCGGGGCCTCTTGTTGTGGAAAGGTCGGGTTTTCGGTTCGTGTTCTCCCTCTTGGCCTCTCTTGGGTCCTCTTGGGGCGATCTTTGGCCGTCTTAGGCCCCCCTTTGGAACGTCTTGGAAACCTCTTGGGCTGTCCTGGGGCCCTCGTAGGGGCCTCTTGGGCAGTTGTTGGGCGGTCTACGGGGCCTCTTAGGCCGTCTTGGAGCGTCGGATACTCGAGAAGATGAAAACCCAGAAACAATGGAGAACCTCAAGAAAAACAAAGAATCTGACTTTGGGGAGCCCTTTTGGGAAGGCTCTTGGGCCTCCTTGGGACGTCTCGACGGCCTCTTGAGGCGTCTTGGAGCCAACGTGGGCGTCTTGGGCAAAGCGTTTGGCGATTCGGGACCGTCTTGGCACGTTTGGGGCCACGGAAGGCAGATTTAGAAGCTCCAGGGTCTCCAGGGAGGCGCGGGGGAGCTCGTGCACCCCCCCTTCGTCGAGATGTTGGACCCTGGGGGAGGGGGAAAGGGGGAGGGGGACAGCCAGTCATGTCACACGCCTTCTCACCCCGAGCAAGCGGGGTCGGTGGATACACACATACATACATACATACATACATACATACATACATACACACATACATACATACATACATACATACAAACAAACATATATACATACATACATAATTACATACATACATACATACATACATACATACATACATACATACATACATACATACATACACACACATACATACATACATACATACATACATACACACACACATACATACATTCATACATACATACATACATACATACATACACACATACATACACACACATACATACATACACACATACATACATACACACATACATACATACATACATACATACATACATACATACAGACACACATACATACATGCATGCATGCATGCATGCATGCATACATACATACGTACGTACGTACGTACGTACATACATACATACATACATACATACACACATTTATTCATATGTATACACATGTGTATAAGTATAGGTGTACATGTATGTGTACATACGAATGTGGGCTCGTGCATCAATCCACGTTATTGATCGGTTAGAAGGGTGGCGGCGCGCCCTTGTCGTCTTCGTCGTCGTCGTCGTCGTCGTCGTCGTCGTCATCAACGTCGTCGTCGTCGACGTCGTCGTCTTCGTCGTCGTCCTCGCCGTTCTCGTCGTCGTTGGCTTTGTCGTCGTCGTCGTCGCAGTCGCCGTTGCAGTGGTCGTCGTCGTCGTCGTCGTCGTCGAGTGCCAGCAAGTAGCGGGGGGCGATCGACAACGAACGTGAAACGGACGAAGTTTGCGCCTGCGAGGGGCCTCTTGCTGCTCGTCCGCCCTTCTCTCTTGTATTGGAGGCAGTGAGGCCTCTCGGAACCGTTTGGGAGCCACCTAGAGTGGGATCTTGGGGGTCCTCGAAGCTCTCTCGGGGGCGCCTCTAGGGGCGTCTTGGGCAGTCTTGCGCGCCTCTTGGACCACCTTGGGGTCATCTTGGGCCGTCTTGGGGCCCTCTGGGGCCCTTTCTGAGGCCCTCCGGGGCCCTTTTTTGGGGTCCTCTTGGGCTATCTTGAGCGCCCTGTTGGGCCGTCTTGGGCGCCTCCGTGGCCATCAGCCATCCAGCTGCGTCTTTGGTACTTTTTCCGCCGTTTGGACAGCAGGTTGGGCCACCTGAGGGCCGTCCTGGTTGGTCTCGGGACCTTTTGCGTGTTCTGGGACCGCTTTGGGACTTTCGCAAATCTCCCCATGTGCCCTCCGGTGCAGTTTCGGGCTCCCCCAGGCGCTCGGGGAAGCGGGGGCACCTACAAACCCGCGAGGAGCCTTCTGAACTTGTTTGGATTGCATATTGATACATGTATACATGTATGTACACAAATGTGTACATGTACGCATAAAAGCACACCCACACATATAGAGATATATCTGTATATATATGTATATATATACATATTCTCGTTCTTGTCTATATATACACCGCTCCTATATGTATACAGATCTGTATCCACATAATACACACGTTTCTGTATAGACAAGTCGTATAAGCACCTTTCGCAGGGAGTAGGGAGTAGTGTGTCCGTCCGTCTTTTACTAAGCTGGTCGTTTCTCCAGGAGCATCTCAAACATTATGCATCAAAATTGGTGGCGCCCCTCATGCATAGCTTAAAACACAGATCCAAGAGCACATAATGCTTCAAACAGGTTCACATAAAGCCTCAACCGCAGCACCAGGGGCTTCAAGGATTCTTAGAACATTGCCGTTTCTCTTGAGACATCCTCCTATTCTCCCAGTGTCGAATCTTTTTCTGAGCACGGCTCTTCCGAACAACCAAGTTCGCTTGAGACATGCTCCTACAACCGAGCCTTTCTTGAACACGATCTTTTGACAAAGGCAATTTGGCCTGAGACATCCTCCCAAAATCGAGCCCCGACGTAGAACACACAGAACACACAACACACAACACACAGAACCCGCACACACGCAAACACGCACACACACACCTAGAACACAACACACATAACACCCAACACACCCAACACACCTTCAACGCACAACCCACACAGCACACCTCACACAGAGCACGCACACACTGCATAACACACATAACTCAGACAACACTCACAACGCACACACACACATACACGCAACACACAGACACAGCATACATTACACACACCATTGTCTGCATGAGCCTGGGCACGCACGTGTCACTTGTATAATACAATTACGTGTATGCAGATGTATGCTCGAATGCACAAACCCACTGGTGCCGCTGCCCTTTCGCGGAAGGCCCTCGTCGCCACGCCTGGAGTCGCCGCGAGCTCTTGGTCAGAAGCCGCTTCGGGAGAGGGCCAGGGAGCAGCGGTAATCATTGGTATCGTTCCCCCTCCAAGAACCCACAGGTTCCGATTCGATACTGGCTATACTCGTCTCGACCCGGTTCGATTACGATGTCCTGGCGCAGCCGATCGGGTTCGATTCGGCCCCTTTCGACGCACATCCCGATTCGATTCGATTCCCCGATTCTGCGCTGACTGTTCCCGGGTGTGGAAGCCGAGACCACTCAGGAAACACAAAGGTAGGGCTGCGCCGTGCCAACTCGGCGGCGATCGCTCTGCGGGCGTTCATGGCTGGACGCCATTTGCTGCGAGAATTCGTCCAATATTTTACGATCTGTACTTTCGGGGAGCCGCGATCGTTCGAGATTCAACAGCCCACGCGGTGTCAGAAGCTAGCGTCGACGTCGAATTCCAGAACGCCTCACGATGTGGCGTTCCCCTCTTTGGTATTCAGCGCAAGGGATCCAGGGAAAAAAAAAGGGCGTACCCATAATTTGTGAGACCTCCTCAGTAAATTATGCATATCCATGGGTGCGTGGTTGAAAGATGGGGCGGATTGGCTGAGCCTGGATCGGCCTGGACCCCCCCTCGTTATCCTCGGCTATGGTTCCAGGACTGAGAGAGGGGGCGCCCCCACCTCCCTCTTCCGCCTTCTGCCGGGCCCGACCTGCGACCGCAGCCGAGAGTCTGGGGGTCGCCTCCGGAGGGTCAGGGGCGTGGCGAACCCCCCCAGGGAGCTGGAGAACGGACACATCTCGACATGCCCTGGCATGCTCTCCTCCCCCTCCCCCCCTTCTTATGCTTCAGTCTCCATGTCCTCCCCCTCTCCCTCTCCCTGTCCTGCCGATGCTCCTCCGTCCCTTCATCCTCCCGATGCTCCTGTTCCTCGCGCTCCCCCGTCTCCTTCTCCGCCTTTTGCTCCTTTGGGTGCTCCTGATTTTGAGTCAGCCGGTCACCCTTTGCCCTCCGTCCTTTCAGTCGGAAGTTTTGGAAAGCGCAGCGCGATCTTGAATGGAGTTTCGAAGCAATCAGTGCTTCTGTGTTTGCGCCGACCTCTGGGACCAGGCTCCATGGCTGGAGAAAGCACATTTTGCGGAGGAAGGCTTTTGGCATTGTCTTGCGCGGTGCACTTCCAGGCCCCCGACCAGTTCCAGCTATCCTCCCCTCGAGAGCTCGAGAGTTCCCTGTTTCCTCTGATATTAAAGACTCAGCAGGTGTCCGAGTTCAGGTGGCTGAAGTCGCGAGAGAGCGAGTTTCTGGCGCACGGCCAGTTCGACCAGATCTTCTACGTGTCCGCGAAGAGGGGCCAGGGCATCCAGAAGCTGCTCGAGCACCTCAGGAGCAGGGCGCAGCCGCGATCCTGGGTATACCCGGTCGATATGAAAACAACGTTGGCCCACACGGAGCAGATCAAGCACATGGTCAACACGCATTTGTACAAGTGGTTCAACAAGGACGTTCCGTACAAGATTGAGCAGCAAACAGTCGGTTGGACTCCTCGTTTGGACGGGACCTTGCTCGTGGAGCACGAGCTCATTGTCAAGGATTCGATTGTCGCGCGCATGATCCTGGGCGTTCGCAACACGATCGTCGCGCGTTTGCGAGATCAGGTCAGTCACAAGTTGTGCAAGCTGTGGGATATGCAGGTCGAGGTGCGAATCTGGGTAAGGCCCTTGCAGCAGCGGCTGAGTGTGGCTGACCGGGGGGTTGCTCCGCCCGACGCGTTCAATAAGAAGCGGAAGAAACCACCAAGCGGCTGAGCATGTGTCTCGACAAAGAAGATGGTCCTCCTCCTCTTCTTCCTCCTCCTCCCTGTCTTGCATGGTCTTTCTGGTGAGCGACACGGGGGGTTCTTGTGCAACCCCCGCCCGAAAGACAGGATGTGGCGGCAATGTGCTGGGAGAGGGGGAGGGGGATGTCGTGAGGAGGGGGAGCAGGAGGCGGAGGAGACGGAACATGTGCAAGGGGAGGCAGAAGAGAAAGGTGTGCCTCTACGATCTGCGTTTTTCTTGGGTCCACCTTCCAGCCCTCATATCTGCTTCGTTTTCCACCGTAATTCTCGACCCTTCTCAGTTCTCCCGCTCCGGCTTGCCACTTCCGCGGCCTTCTCCCTATCTTGGAAAGAGCGTGTTCTACCGCTGCTGGCGGAAAACCGGGGGGGGTCACTACCGGTTCGAACCCCTCCCCTCCCCCCCCCCCCCTCCGGAAAACCGGGGGGGGGTCACTACCGGTTCGAACCCCTCCCCCCCCCCCCAGTTCATCATGAAAAGGGGGGGGGGTCACTACCGGTTCGAACCCCCCCCCCCCTCGAAAACCGAGTGGGGGTGCGGACAGTGGTGGGGACGGTGTTGGTGGGGACAGTGGTGAGGGGACAGCGGGACAGTGGTGGGGACAGTGGGACAGTGGGACAGTGGTGGGGACGGTAGTGGTGGGGACAGTGGTGGGGACAATGGTGGGAACAGGGGGGACAGTGGACAGTGGTGGGGACGGTGGTGGTGGGGACAGTGGTGTGGGGACAGTGGGAATGAGGTGGAAACAGTGGGACAGTGGAGGGTACAATGGTGGTGGGGACAGTGGTAAAGGCGGTGGCGAGGACGGCGGTGGGACAATGGGACAGAGGTACAGTGGGGACAGTGGTGGGGACAGTGGGGACAGTGGTGGGAACAGTGGGACAGCTCAGTGGGACAGCGGAGGAGTCAGTGGGACAGTGGGGACAGTGGGGATAGGCAGTGGTTGGGTCCGTGGAGACAGTGGGGAGAGTGGAACCGTGGTGGGAACAGTGGTGGGAACAGTGGGGACAGTGCGACAGTGGTGGGGGCACTGGTGGGGACAATAGGGACGGTGGTGGAACCAGTGGGGACAGTGGTGGTGAGGACAGTGGTGCTGGGAACAACAGTGGGGGATGTGATGCGAGCGGTGGTAGGGACCGGGAGTCGTTTGCTGGCGGTGCGTGGGGGGGGGGGGTCGAACCGGTAGTGACCCCCTCCGGTTTTCGAGGGGGGGGGGCCAACCGGTAGTGACCCCCCCCGGTTTTCCGGATCCGGAGGGGGGGGGGGGGGGGGGGGAGGGGTTCGAACCAGTAGTGACCCCCCCCGGTTTTCGGGGGGGGGGGAGGGGTTAGGGGAGGGGGGTTTTGCCGGGGGGGGGGGGGGGGGGGGGGTTCCAGCAGGGGGGGGGGATTTTCGGAGGGGGGGGGGGGGAGACCCCCGGGCTCCGGAGGAAAAGGTTGGCAATTTTCCACAGTAAAGCGGCGGTGGATCACGCTCTCTTCTATCTTGAGGCCCCCCAAACGGTGTGGTGACCACACCGCGAGGTGATGAGTCCGTAGGTATTCGGGGTCACCGCGCGGTTTTGGGACTCGGGTCGTTCTCCGAGGGTGTCTCGGACGACTGAGGCCTCCAGGATCCCAAGACCGTGTGGTGATGGACTGCGCGGTGATGTCGTTGGGGATTCCGAGGACACCACGCGGTCCGTCACCAAACGGTTTAGGGGACCTGAACTGTCGCCCTCTAGGAGGGCACCTACTAAACACATACACCGATCCTGGCCAGGCCCATCCTGGGCCCAGTATCGGTGTATACGCCCTCCGGACTTGGGCAGGAAGGCGTATACACCGGTCCTGGGCCCAGGTTGGGCCTGGCCGGGGTCGGAGCAGTGTAGGTGTATAGTCGGTGCCCTCCGCCCCTTTCGCCTCGTCCTGAAGCCGATTTTGTCCCACTGCTCCTGGGCTTTCCTGCGGCCTCCACCACCACCCCACGCCTCCGCGTGCTGCTCTTCCTTTTGCCTTTTCCTCCGAGGCGGGGATTTATACATACGGTGGGGTGCATTCGTTCAGGAGTGCGCCCAGGAGGCGTCAGACCCTGCAGGATTTCTTGTCTAATGAGGGCGGCAGTGACATGTTCACGATTCGAGTTCCGCTGGCGTCCAGACCCCAGATTCCTCATCCAACGGTTCCCTGTCAATGCCATCACCGTAACCACCGCCTGCGGGATCGACATTCGGGACCTCGGTAGGCAGTAGATACGCAAGGGCTCCCAGGAGGGCGCGAAGTTATTCGCGCTTCGCGCTTCGCCGTCCTCCTTCCTCCTCCCCCTCCTCCTCGTCCTCCTCTTCTCCTTCTGGGAGGGCGGCGCGAGAGCGCGAAGTTATTCGCGCTTCGCGCTTCGCGCAGCGCGAAGCGCGAAGTTGGGAGCCCTAGAGTATACAAGGGCCCTAGGGGCGGTGGTGGTGGCGGCAAATGTATTCGAATTTGCCGCCTGCCGAGGTCCCCGAAGACGATCCTCCGGGCGGTGGTTACGGATAAATTTCCGCCTCGCATTTGCCTCCTCCCAGAGCTCTGAACTCGGCCTCCTGCCCGATCCAGAATCGCGAAACTATTCGTATTGTTCGAGTCATCTTGAAAGATGCTGTCGGTTCTCTGCACTTAACTCGGGCTGTAGGGGGCTGCATGGCTGGTAATCACAGGAATCGATTCAGAGACATCAGTCGCGTCCGCCCCTCGTTTCCCTTCAGTTGTTGCCCTCCCTCTCCCTCTCCCTCCTCTTTGGCGCCCTGCGAGCAGGTGCGGCCGTCTGCATCGTCATGTCTGCAGCCAAGGCCAGCAGCCTGGGACTCACTCCCTTGGTGGGCGGGGGGGGGGGCCCACCCAGACACCCCCTCGCCGCGGAACAAAAAAAACACGACGGGAGCGCTTTTTGCCGATTTGGGAGTCTCCGTGGGCCCTCGACGGGCCGGGATCTTCAGAAAGCGGCTCAGGATGAACGGCCGGTCCTGGGAAAGAGGTCGAGCCTTCTGGCGATCGACGTTGTGGAGCAAATCACGGCGTCCGGTGGGTCTGGGGAGGCCGCAAGGGGAGAGGCAGGTTGCATCCACGTGCCTATCCAGGCAGCCTGTCGCCAAGGCTCCTCCCCTCGCGCTCTCTGCACGAAGGGGTGGCCAGAGTATCGGCCACGGTCGCAGAGCAAGCATGTCGTCAGCATTCGTTGTTGTTTGATGGTTGTCTGCTTGCTATCCGATGTCCCCCTGAAGCAAAAACAGACATCGTCAATGGGACGTTGTTCGGAATCCACACTTCATATTTGCATCGAGAGAGGAGCTACGCCAGCCACGTCCCGCTGTGCTCCTGGCAGTCTGTGCTGCACGTGCTGCTTGGCGACGTGGGGGGAGAGCGGGGCTGAGAAGCAACCAGGCGACGAACGCGCAGGCGGGAGGAATGTGGGAGGGACCCTTTTGCCGGAGGAAGGGGGGAATGATGAAGAGGCGTGCGAATGGGGGGGAGGATTGACACGGTAGGGGGGGCATGGGGGAAGGACGGGGAGGAGGTGGATCAGAGTAAAACCAGGATGCACCAGCGATTCTGCAATACATCTCCCGTCCCACGTCCTTCCTCATAGGTGCCTACATGCAATCCTTTTTCACTGCGGGAAGCGACCACTTGAACGACGACCGCCCCATGGGCTTTTCATTCAGTGGAGAGGCTTTTTGTAGGAACAGCCTTGCATCATAGCCATAGGAAACGTGAAGTGGTAGGGTCGGGCCATCAAAATCCAAGGGAGAGATCAGCGATAGCTCCGTTTTGAAAATGGGGCGCTCTCCATCCATTGTGCCGTCGCACACATGTGCGATTCTGGCCACGACTGATCTAGCGGCCTTCGCGCCATTCCGCGACCATGCCTGAGTCGTGGACAGAGACATCCTTGGGGTCTCTTGGGAGGCCTCCTAGTGGCTTCTTGGCAGCTTCCTCGGAAGTCTCTGAGGACCTCGCGATGGGGTGCCCGGGGACATCTTAGAGCCTCTAATGAGCCTCCTGTGGCCTCTTTGGGTCATTGGGGCCACCTGTTGCTCGAGATGTTAGTTCGGCTTCCCCTGCCTGGGGCCGTCTTCCGGCGAGTGTGTGGCGGCCTCTTGTGCCGAAGCCGTGTAAAACCAAAAGGCTTTCAATGTTTTTGGGCTCCGAGGCCGGCCCCGAGGTTTGTCAAGACGCCCAAGGTGCGCCCAAAGAGGGCCCCAGGATGGGCCATGAGACCATACCAGGCCATGTGCGAAGGGTGGAATCCCAGCAGCGCTCCCAAGGACCCTGACAAAAATCACGCGAGCCGCCCTGGATGCGGGTGGCCCCCCGCTCCCAGGAGCTCACGAAAAGGCGTCCCCCAGGGAAACGCGAGGTCCCGACTGGATGCGCACGGCCCCCCGTTCCGCTGGACCTCCCAGGCCCACGAACTTCGCGGCAGTTGCGTAGTTGCAGAACCCAGCCAGAGGAGGGCTAGGAACAAAATGCGCGCAAAAACTGACACGGATTGCGAAGGCCTTACGGTCGGTGCCACCGACCCTGAAGGGGGACGACGACGACAGCGGCGGCGGCGACGACGACAACGTTGACGTGGGCCAGAGGGATGCTTCTTGGGGTCCCTTCGGAAGGCTCTCGGGGGCCTCTGGGGAGGAACTCTGGGGCCTCTTGGTAGCCTCGTGGGGGCCTCTTGGGAGCCTCTTGTGGCCTCTTCGGGCTTCCTTGGGATCTCTTGTGGGCCTCTTGGGGCCTCTTGGGGACCTCTTGGGGCCTCCTGGGAGCCTCTCGGGCACGCTTTTGGAGCCGTCTGGGGGGCCTCTTGGGCCGTCTTGGAGGCGTTGTGGGGTGTTAGGGGTCCTCTTGGGCTGTGTGGGGGCCCTGTTGGACGTCTTGGGGCGATCTTGGGGGCTTCTTGGCCCCCCCGGGATCCATGACTGTTGTCTCGTGGGGCCCGTCTCGGGAGTGCTCTTGGAGGCTTCTTAGGACGTCTTGGCGGCCTCCTGGGCGTTCTGGAGGGCATGAAGGCGTTTGGGGCCGATTGTTTGGCGATTGGGGGCCCTCTTGGACCGTCTCGGGTGCCTCTTGGGGCTCTCTTTGCCTGTCTTGGTACTTTCTGAGGCCCTGGGGTCCCCGGGGGGGGGGGGGATGCTTGACCCCCCCCCCCTCCTCCTCGGGACGCACCCCCGGCCCCCCAACCTCCATACCTCGCCAGGACCCCCCCCAGCCGGGGAGTGATCACTTCCCTTCGACCCGATTACGACATTACTAGAATTTTCTCTCGCTGACAGGCTGGAGGAGGAGGGCGCAGACGACGACCGACGGAGACGGCGACTCGAACAGACAAGTCCCTCACACACGCTCGCAGGGTCGGGGGATTTCTACTCCTCTCGTCTCTCTGGGCCTTTGGAGCCCATCTGGGTGCTTCGTGGGTCGCATTCAGGGTTACTTGGGCATCTTCGAGTCCTCCGTATGTCGTCTTGGAAATCTTGCCGAGCGGGGGGGGCCCAGGGGGGAGGGGGGGCGTCGGTGACAAAACTGCGCCCCCCCCTTCCCCCCCAAAGGACCGAAAGAGCATCTCAAGCAGCCCGCGCCCGAAGACTCGATGATCGACGCTCGATCTACAAGCCCTGGCTGTCGCCCCCCTCGTCTGGGCGCCAGGGGAACCCTGGCGTGGACGGAGCAGCCTGGCCTCAGAGGCCAGGAACCTCGTCGTGCCCCCGCTCGGGCTCCTCCTGGGGCCGGGGCGCGAGCAGGGGCAGGGACCAGCTGCCAGTCGCCTGAAGACGGGCAGCGCCGTCGTGAGCGGGGCTTGTAGGGGGCCCGGCGGGGAGCGCGGGCGCGGGGAGGGGGGGAGGCGACCATCCGGTCCTTCGCGGCCGCAGGCGTGGACCCCAAGGCGGCATGCTCCCTCGGGGGGAGGGGGGCGGGGGGAGGATCGAGGGTCGAGGCTCGGGGGCCCCCCCGGGCGGCGTGGTGACCACACCGCGCGGGGAGTCCGTGGCGGTTCGGGGTCGCCACGCGGCTTTGGGGCTCGGGCCGTTCTCCGAGGGCGTCTCGGGCGAATTGGGGCCTTCGAGGTCCCAAAACCGTGCGGTGACGGACCGCGCGGTGAGATCGTTGGGGATTCCGAGGCCACCACGGTCCGTCACGACACGGTGTGGGGGCGCCGAGCGGGGATGTATCCATAACCGCCGCCTGGCGGATCGAGCTTCGGGGTCCTCGGCGGGCAGTGGATGTGGATAGATTCGGACCCTGCGGGGGCCAATTTTTTTCCCCAAGCTAGACATATCAACGCAGACGCATGCATACCTGGGGCTGGCAGATGCTAGGCCTGAGCGAGCGCCACTTCGTCAAGCGGCGACACCTTTGTGCGCAGCCGCTTCGTGGGCCGGATGGCCTCCCACGCCGCCGCATTGAGTGGCGGGGGGACGTCTTTCAGAAACCAGTCTCCGTGTCCATATCCGCCGCCCGCCGATGCCCTCGACACTCGATCCCCCAGGCGGCGGTTACGGTGGGGGCCTTCGTTAAGGGATGTGCCCAGGAGGCTTCAGACCCTGGAGGATATCTTATCTGACGACGGCGGTGGCGGCATCCGTGGCCAAGCCTCAATTGGCGTCCCAACGCCTCTTAGGCCCTGGAGTCCTTGTTCAAGGGGTCCTTATCCGATGCCCTCACAGTATGGATGCATCCCCGCCTCGTAGGATCGGGACATGAGGAAGGGGATCGAGATGGAGGTGATCGGGCCGAGGACACCGAGGAGGGTCGAGCGCCGATGGCCGAGGAGGGCCACGCTGCACCTTCGGGGGGGCGTCGCCTGTCTCGAGAATGGAGTTCTGAGTGTGTCCGATGTGGAGTCGTCGCGGATTCGAGCAGGCTTCCACCCGAATTCGGCGCAGGTTCGACGTTCTGAAGGATCTCGGATCGAGGATCGGAGAGCGGGATCGAGGGGGATCGAGGAGGTGGAGGAGGATCGAGGGGTAGGGTAGAGGATCCAGGGCCGATGAGCATCGAGGATCATGGAGCGGGGATCGAGAAAGATCAAGGAGCATCGAGGTTCGAGGGTCGGGGATTGAGGATCAAGGACCGAGGGCCGAGCCTCAAGAAGGAGAGTCGAGGAGTAGGATCGGGGATTTGAGAGTCGAGGAGGATGCTGTATCATCAAGGATCGAGGAATTCAGAAGAACGACATGGATTTGGGAGCGAGGAGCCACTAGGAGGATCGAGGATCGAAGTTGTTGACCCACCCTCATTGGGCCTCTGGAGGCCTCCGCAGATGTCATATTTCCTCTCACCTTTGATTCCGATGCTTTCCTTGCTCTCTTGATTTCCCTGGGGCCACTTTCGAGGCCGGGGGCGTTCGCACAAGCGACTTGGAAATTTGACAGGCTGGTTCTGGGGTCGAGGGTCGAGGTTCTCTGGGATCTACGGACCCCGCGGGTTGGCAGAGATCACGGCGTCGGAGGTTTGTGTGCTGGGTTTGGGCCGACGGGGGAGGGCGGGGAGAGCGGGGAGAGGGAGGAGATGATGGGAATGCGAAGGCTTGGTGGCAGAGCAACGCCAGCGAGTTGGCAAAATCGCCCGGATGCCGCCCCGCGAGCCCTCGTGCGCACTGCAAGCGCGCACAGTCCTCCCGTGCCGGCAAGAGAACGGGGCCTGCAGCATTGGGCGGGGGAGGGTCAAGGAGGGGGGAGCGAAGAGGATGAGAATCGGGGAGGAGGGACGAGGAATGGGTGCGGGAGGAGGGCCAGGGCGAGAAAGCACGCCCTGGCATGGGCGACTGCAGCGTTGCCTCAGCGTTTCCTTCCCGCACTCTGCGATGGATCTGAGGGCCCAGATGTTGCAGCGGGCCGACAGGACATGCAGAACCCCTCGCGATCCTCGACGGTGTCTTCGCTAGCGGCCAGCGCACCTGATGGAGCCTGTCTCTCTCTCTCTCTCTTTCTCCCTCCTTCGCCAGGCAATCGCCCTCCGCGGCCTGGGCTGGGTAGTTGCCCCTCTCCAGAGGTCGCCGCGAGGTCGCGACGATGGAGCGCGGACGAGAGCCTTTCTCGGGCTCTTCCCGCACCTTGGTGCCACGAGAACTTCTCGCACGCGCTTGTCCACGTCCATAGCTGATGACTCCTTCTCATCTGTTGCTCCTCCTCCTCCTCCTCCTCTTTTATGTTGCCCCTCCTCGGTGTTGGGCCTCTTCCCCTTCCCGACCCCGTCGAAGGTGATGGGCCTGGGCCCTGTACCCGCCACCCAGAGGTGCCTTGCCAAGGCTGGGTGGACTGTTGCAGACCTCGACCTCGTGGAGGCCCCCCCCCATCCCCCGCCTCTCCCTTGAGGAGGGAGGGAGGAGGGTGGGATTAAGTGGAGGAGGAGGAGATGGAGGAGAAGGAGGAAGAGAGCATTCGTCGATCTGGGAAAGGTAGCATGAGAAGAAGGATGGTGCGATGTGGGATCAGGTACGGAGAAAGTGTGAGAGGGGGATCCGCGGGGGGAGTCGGGATGATTACTGGGAGGGGCATGAGTAGAAGAAGGTTCAGTCTATCTCGATCTCTCTCTCTCTCTCTCCCCGTTTGTTTTTCCCAACCATCCTGTGGTGTTGGGTCCTCGTTTTGAAGAGACAGCGCCCCGCGTTCCTTCCTTCCCGCTGCCCCCTCCCTCCTCCCATCTTCATCATCATCGTCATCACCCATTTCGGCACACCCCTCACACGTTTCGTGGCCCCATAGGGAGCTCCACCGAAGGTCCCAGTGGGTGTGCCCGCATGCGTCCCGCACACCCATTTCGGCACACCCCTCACACGTTTCGTGGCCCCATAGGGGGCTCCACCGAAGGTCCCAGTGGGTGTGCCCGCATGCGTCCCGCACACCCATTTCGGCACACCCCTCACACGTTTCGTGGCCCCATAGGGAGCTCCACCGAAGTCCCCGCATAGGCACACCCTTCACACGTTTCGTGGCCCCATAGGGAGCTCCACCGAAGGTCCCAGTGGGTGTGCCCGCATGCGTCCCGCACACCCATTTCGGCACACCCCTCACACGTTTCGTGGCCCCATAGGGAGCTCCACCGAAGGTCCCAGTGGGTGTGCCCGCATGCGTCCCGCACACCCATTTCGGCACACCCCTCACACGTTTCGTGGCCCCATAGGGAGCTCCACCGAAGGTCCCAGTGGGTGTGCCCGCATGCGTCCCGCACACCCATTTCGGCACACCCTTCACACGTTTCGTGGCCCCATAGGGAGCTCCACCGAAGGTCCCCAGTGGGTGTGCCCGCATGCGTCCCGCACACCCATTTCGGCACACCCCTCACACGTTTCGTGGCCCCATAGGGAGCTCCACCGAAGGCCCAGTGGGTGTGCCCGCATGCGTCCCGCACACCCATTTCGGCACACCCCTCACACGTTTCGTGGCCCCATAGGGAGCTCCACCGAAGGTCCCAGTGGGTGTGCCCGCATGCGTCCCGCACACCCATTTCGGCACACCCCTCACACGTTTCGTGGCCCCATAGGGAGCTCCACCGAAGGTCCCAGTGGGTGTGCCCGCATGCGTCCCGCACACCCATTTCGGCACACCCTCACACGTTTCGTGGCCCCATAGGGAGCTCCACCGAAGGTCCCAGTGGGTGTGCCCGCATGCGTCCCGCACACTCATTTCGGCACACCCCTCACACGTTTCGTGGCCCCATAGGGAGCTCCACCGAAGGTCCCAGTGGGTGTGCCCGCATGCGTCCCGCACACCCATTTCGGCACACCCCTCACACGTTCCGTGGCCCCATAGGGAGCTCCACCGAAGGTCCCAGTGGGTGTGCCCGCATGCGTCCCGTCGTCTCTCTGCCCAGCGGCAAGAGCCTTGCCCGCTATCAGCCAGCCAGCTAGCTCTTTTTGCTCCGCGCAGTGGACGACCCGCGCGCGTCGCTGGGACCCCTCCGGGGCGACCTGCGCGCGTCGCGGGGACTCCGCGCTGCGCTGCGCCCGCAACCTTGGACTTTTGAGTGCGCGGGCAAAGAGGGAGTAAAGGAAGGGGAGGAAGCGGGCGCGATCCTCGCCGGTGGGCGCGCCGACATTGGCGTCGCGGCGCGCGGGCGATGCCGTCGGGGAGTCCCGGGGAAGCTCCTTGCGGCGGCCACGCCCAGCGTCACGAGTACTCAGAGGCAGACATTGTCAAACTATTGACATTCATACACAATTGCGCCACGCTTTGTCATATTCGCATTCATGCACGTAGACTCGTTCGCACGCAGATTCATTCACAGTCAGACGCACGCGCGCAGATTCACCCGCGCTCAGTCTCCCTACGTACTCAGATCAATCGTTTTCGTTCGCGTTGTGTACCACGCCACTCATGTCGGCACACCCCTAGCACGGTTCGTTGCCTCATAGGGATCGCCACCGAAAAAGTGAATCACTATTGCGGTACTCACACCTGTATATGGTTGGGTCCCTCGTCAGGCTAATGTTTTGTCTCTCTCTCTCTCTCTCAAGCGACCCATCTCTCTATATATATCGTTCTCTCTTTTTCTCTCTCTCTCTCTCTCGTTCTCGTTCTCTATGTCTGTGTTTATGTATGTACCCATGTTTGTTTCCTTTTGTTCTCTCTCTCTCTCTCTCTCCCCCTTCAATCACGATTTCACACTTTCTCCCGCTCTCTCTCTACCTCTTAGTATCTCACTATGTCTCACTTTCTCTCGCTCTCTCGCTCTCTCTCTCTCTCTCTGTGTATTTCTCCACTCTCTCTCACACCATCTCTCTCTTTCTCTCTCTCTCTCTCTCTTTCGCATCTTCCGTTATATTTCTCTTTCTGTCTGCAGATGATTAATCATCGAAGATGTCTGCACGCTGTAGATAGAGTGTGACTCGGGTTCGGTGTCGACCGTGCCCCACATCTCCGACACGGTGCACAGCCAGGAGTGGTTGGACTCAATTGGCACACCTCGATGGTAGCGCAACTGTTAGAAACGACACGAGAAGAAGAGGAATGCTGAGGAAGAGGAAGAGGAAGTGGAGGCACGACTTCACCATTTTTACAACCTCCTGTCATTGCCAACCACGCACGTGGAGAGATGCATTTGCGGCTAGACATCCGTCGTAATCGGCAGCTTGGGCACAGTGCAGCTAGGAGTAGTTCGACTCAACGGGCACAGTGGCACGACAGCGCGAAGGCATAAAGGAGGGGACGAGATGCCGGGCCGAGGCCAGGAGGTGCGTCGCAGCACTTCACCCCGTGCTGTTCCGTGAAGGCCCCCATGGCCCATCGTTGCCCACTAGTCCTTGTTTCTCTTTCTCCCCCTCCGTATATCCTGCTCATTCCCCTCCTGCTGCTGCTTCCTCCCTCGTTATATTATTTCTCCTCGTCGGCTTTAGCCGTCTTGGCTCAAGCTTACCTTCGGCGTACGTTAACCCCTACATAGCTGGGCCCGGTAGACATGGCAGGCCGTCGTATAGTGGTGGTAGCAGGCTTCCTTGGCGTAGCAGCAGGAATCGCTACCGTGTCGCGGGACAGCACAGGCAGCAGGTCGTCAGTAACCAAGGATGCGGACGGCAACGTCACGCACAGCCTGATGATTTGCAACGCCTACGCTAGCCCGAAGTCTTTAGATGTGTACTCCCTCACAAAGGAGATGAAGCTGACAGTGGAGCCCCTGCCATACAAGGGGTGCCGCGAGATGTCGCTCGAGCTGGAGGAGGGCGAGCGCCTGGACTTCAAGGCCGCCGGACTCAGCGTCGGCACCTTCCACTGCGTGGGCCTGCCGAGGACCTCCGCGAAACTGCTGCTGGTCCCGCACCGCCACAGCGTCAGCACCCTGGCGGCGTCCTTCGCCTCGCACGCCTACTCGGACGCGGCGGGCTCTGCGCAGCTTGCGGTGGTCGACGCGTACTCCGGCAGCGCGGTGGGGGGCGTGCAGATCAGGCAGGGCAGGCGGCGGAGCGGCCAGGCCGAGGAGGTGCTCAAGCCGGGCACGGTTCTGGCGCTGGGCTCCGGCGAGTACCAGGTCGAGCTGGAGGACGGCGAGAGCAGGGTGCTCGTCACCGTGCCGGTCACGGTCGGCGCCGAGACCAGGCACGTGGCCCTGCGCGTGGGCGTGGAGGGCAGCTACTCCCAGGAGCTGGTGGTGTTCCCGAACGCGAAGGCGGCCATTATCCACAGCAGCTCGGCCAGGGTGTGCCCTGTCTTGTGGGCCCTGATCGCGGCTGTCGCTTGCTCTCTCGCCCTGGCTTGAGCCGCAGCTGCAGCCTCCTCTCCTCCTCATTTTACCTCGTGCCAGGTCTTGGGGGCAGCTTCTTCAGACAGGGCGCTTTTTCCGTAACACCGGGCCTAGTTCAAACAGGGAGTCATCTGCCGATTTTTCGGAATCGATGAAGGAAGCAGTCGCCAGGTAGTTGATCAGCTAACTTAGGGAACACCCAGAGGAGTTCGGGGAAGGTGGGTGGGTTGGGGGGGATGATGAGGAGCATCAGGAAAATACATAGGATGAGATCAACGATGTTAAGGAGGGGGACGGGGACGGCGAGTATGAAGAGGAGGTGGAGGAGCAGGAGGGGTAGGAGGATGGGTAGGAGAACGGGACGCGAAGGAGACGGAGTATGATCTGAATCATTCGGACAATTGGTGCCAAGGATGGCCAGGACAAGACACATGAGAAGGGTTGGAAGGGGGTGTGGTCGAGCAGGAAGAGGGGAAGGAGGCGGAGGATGAAGAGGAGGGGGTGCAGAGCATGAGCATCAGGATGAGGATGAGGATGAGGATGAGGATGAGGATGAGGATGAGGATGAGGATGCTGATGATCATGATGATGATGATTATGATGATGATCATGATGATGATGATGATGATGATGATGATGATGATGATGATGATGATGATGATGATGATGATGATGATGATGATGATGATGATGATGATGGTGGGGGGAATCTGCCGCGAGCAGCTGGAGATAGAGGATGATGACAGGAACAACAGTGAACCAGTAGGAGCAGAAGTGGGCAGGATGGGCGGGCGGAGCGAGAGGATTGATTGGAAGAGGGAGGACAGAGGTAAGAGATGAGGCATGGGGATGCGCCAGGACGAGAGAGGAAGTGGACGAATAATGAAGTAGGAAGGGGAGGAGGAGAGAGGACGAAAAGGGAGACAGGGGATGGACGAGTCGCGAGGTATCGGAGGAGCAGGGAGGAAGTAGGAGGAGAAAGGAGAAAGGAGGAGGAGGAGGAGCAGAACACGAAGCAGAAGGAGTGTAAATAAGGGTGGAGCAGAACGAGGAGCAGAAGGAGTGTACATAAGGGTCGAGGGGGAAACAGCAGTGGCAGGAGGCGGCAGTTGCAGCAGTGAGGAAGAGGGGGGGAGGCGGAGAATGCGGATAGGAGCATCGGTCTGGGCACTCACACGGCATTATGTTACGCATTAGTTTATGACGGTGTTACGCAAGTTTTGCCCTCTTCCTTCCTCTCCCCCCTTAGATACTCACCTTCACGGCACGGAGTGGCCTCTCTCTCTCTCGATTGCTCATGCGTGTCTTGTGTCACCGCGCGGCGGAGGGCGTGGCAGATCTTTGTTCCAGGTCACCGGGTGATAGAGCGAGTGCTTCGAAAAAACGCGCACGCATGCACGCCTGCACTTATGCAGGCGTGTACGTGCAGATGTGTGCATATGAGCATGCTTGTCCATGCGCGCGAGCGCGCGCGCGAGCGTGTGTGTGTGTGTGTGTGTGTGGATGCGACCATGTCTCTGTGCGTATCGAGTGGCCTTCAAACCACTCCGTCACCGTGCCTGGGTCGGTGGCGGGAGGCGCAGTGGTAGCACTGTCGGGAATCCCGATGCTTAGCAGTGTGTGAGTCTCGAACGTTGCATGCGATCTGTTCGAGATGGTCGTTTGGTAAGGGGGATGCCATGATCGGGGACATGTTGGGTGGGCCTTCTGCGGGGCCGTTGGGTATCCCCTGGGCTGTTTTTGAAGGCCTCTTGGTGGCCTGGTGGAGATCTCGTGGGTGTTAGTGGTGGTAGTAGTGGTGGTGGTTGTAGTGGTGGACGATGTAGCAGCAGTCAAGGTAGTAGCCGTAATAGTACCAGTGGAAGTGGTCATGGAAGTAGTAGTCGCACGAGTGCCGTTAGCGGTGGCAGAAGCAGCAGAGGCAGTAGCAGCGCGGACAAAATTGGACATGCGGCAAATGAGAAACCTCTTGGGTATCTGCAGAGGCGTCTGAGCGGCCTCTTGGGAGCCTTTCGGGGTCCTTTAGGGGCGTTTTGTGGGCCTCCTGGGGCCTTTTAAAGTCTGCTGGTGGTCTCGGGGGCCATCTTGGGGTGGAGGGTACCAGATATATTTCGAGTTCTCCTTCTTTGGGGCTTCGGATGATCTTGAAGCGATATTATGGGTGGGATTCGGGGCCGTATCGGACGCTCCTATGGCAGAAAACAACTTATTGTTAAAAGCGTGCACGGAATGTAAATTTTCGTTCGAATTGATTTGGCCTTTTGGGTGCCTCTTGGGGGCCTCTTGCGCCCTCCTGGGGGCATCTTGGGTTCCTCTTGGAACCTCTAGGGCGTCTCTCGGTGGCCTGCTTGCGGTCTCGGGGGCCATCCGTCTGTGGATGGCTTCAAATGTCAGTTTGGGCCATGGCCCTTTTGGGTGCCTCTTAGGCCAGTCTTGGGGCACGGAGCTGTCTTGGAGCGATATTGCGGGGCCTATCGGACTATCTGGTACGCTCTTATTGCAGAAAGATTAGGTGTGTGGACCGTGTGTGTGTGTGTAGTTGTATCTAAGTGATGGGAGGCAGAGAGATTGTGGAAGGAGGGAGGATAGTGAAAGGGAAGGAGGGAGGGGGAGGAGGGTAGAGGCAGATCCGAAGGACGACGACGATGCAGACGAGGACAACTGCCACGGGGACGACTGCGGCGACGGCGACGGCGAGACGACGGCGACGACGACGACTCTCCGCGCGGAGAGCAGGCCAACGAGGCCTTCGCCGCCCAGGCCCTGGGGGTGAACAGGACGTTGCAGGCGTGGGCTCCCCCGCTCTCTCTGGAGGGGGGGGGGTCCGCGAGCGGTCAGGGTGTCCAAAACGGCCTCCGCGAGGAAGCCAGCATCATTGGTTTTACTAAGGTTTGGGCCCCATTTTTTGCTTCTTGGGGGGGCAACGCTGAAATAACCTCCCCTCTTCTTCGATCGATCTCCTCCAAGATGGCCCCAAGAGGCGCCCATGAGGCCCCAAGAAGTCCCAAGAGGGCCCCAAGATGGCCCCAAGAGGCCCCCACGAGGCCCCCAGGAGACCCCCAAGAAGACCCCAAGCGGCCCCAAGAGGCCCCCCCCCCAAGGCACCCAAGACGCCCCCCCGTCCAGGTCCAGGGGAGGGGGTAGGGGGAGGGGTCAAGACACCCTCCAGATAGCAAGCCGTCTAGCTCACTCCCACCCGCCCTCCCATCACGTAAGTAACACCCGATTCTCAGTATGTTCCGCGGTCGTCTTTTGATGGGCAGCTACTGGGAACCAAAACCGAGCCCATGTGTGCGACGCTGGGGCGAGGTGCGCCACGCGTGCCAGGCGCGCCACGCGCGCCAGGCACCCCTGGGGCCCGAGCGTGCCAGGCACGCCTAGTGCGCCAGATGCTCCCTCCAGCCGCGCCAGGTGCGCCACGTCCGGGGCGCGTGCAGAGTGTGTCAGGTGCGCCTGCGCACGTGACAGCACACATCGGGAAACATGTCGGCCCCCACCATCCCTGTCGAAAACCAATGCCCATCATTTTGTCTGGTGGGCCTGCGCACAGCAGGCCATACGCCACCACCCCCGCCGTCCCTGACAAAAACCACTTGATAATGATCGCGGGGTGGCCGCGCACTATCCACATTTAGCCGCGAGGTGCATTTTGTATTGTGTGTTTGTCAGGGATGGTTGCCCTGCGCGCAGCGGGCAATATGCTCTCACACCCGCCGTCCCTGTCGAAAAACAAAGCAAAGTGCCCGCGGGCCTCACGAACATGCCTCCAGACTTTGCCCCGAATTGTACTGTGTGTTGTTTTTTGAGAGGGATGGTGGGGGGGGGCCGCATCGGGTTGGTTGCGCATGTTCGAATTTGGAGGCAGAGTGCTTTTTGCATTCTTTTGACAGGGATGGGTGGAGGCCCTCATGGTGTGCGCATTGTTCCGGGTTGGCTGCCGGCCGGGCGGGGGAGAGGGTGTTTATTAATAGGGAACAGTGATAAATCCCTTCCCGAAGGGGAAGAAGGGGGTTGGAAGATGAGCCGCTTTAGATCATCTAAGCCCAGAGGGCTGGTGGGATTGCGACATAGATGTTGCAGCCCGTGCTTGCAGCGCTCGGCCTTCGCATGGCCATCTTGCGCGTTGTTTCCGCATGCTGCGCATAATGGATTGGCGTGTATGTGTCCATCACTCCTGGCAGCTTCGCATCCTACTCATCATCCTCCGAGCTACCGCCGCCCTTCCGCGTCCCCCCCTCGTGCCAGATTCCGCCTGAGAAGCTCAACGTGAACGGAGGGGCGATCGCCATCGGCCACCCTATTGGCGCGTCGGGTTGCCGTATCGTCGTGGAGGGCAGGGGGGGTCGCCGAGGTCTGGTATCTGGCAGCCCCTGCTTTTCCTCCTCCTCCTCCTCATCCTCCTCCTATCCCTCTTCTGCTGTATTGTATGTCTTCGTATGCAAGAGCGCTGGTTTGGGAGAGCCGCAGAGGTCGCGCCCTGGGAGTGGAAGGTGAAGCGGCGTCGGAGAGAAAGATAGGATGTTGCATCGCACAGAGCCCCAGACGTTGATGCTTTTGGGGCAGTGGTGGGCTGTGGGATGCAGTGGGCTGCCCTCGATATGGGACAGCCGTGGGAAGTGGGGAGATGAGGGAGCTTGCCTGTCCCGTGCTCCGAGAGTGGACGGAGTGGGGGCCAATGCAAGTGGCGCTGGCGGAAGGAGATGGGGAGCGGGAGAAGGATCATTACGAGCATTGAGAGGAGGAGGGGGAGAAGGAGGAGGAGGAAGAGGAGGAGGAGGAGGAGGAGGATGAGGGGGTGAGGGACGACAGGGACGAGGGTGAGGATGAGGCGGAACAGTATGTGCCAGAATAGGAAGATGAGGAGGAAGTCGACGACGAGGCCGACGGTGAGGAGGAAAGGGAGGAAGAAAGTATAGGGAGGGCGGAAGGGAGGCAGGATGACAAGGAGGACAACCACGACGAGGATGGGGAGGATGAGGCCTGAAGGAGTGGCAGGACCTGCTGTACGAGATGCGCCGCCGCAACGCCTCCCGCGGCCTCGCGACGCTGTGTATCGGCGGAGGGCAGGGCGTGGCTATGGCCTTCGAGCGCTCCCCGGGCAGCAGGCTGTAGGCAGCGTGGCATGAAACTGGAGGTCGGAAAGCGGCGTGGTCTAAAGGGGCGCTGTGCCGATGCTGAAAATGGCAAGGTTATCTACGATAGCCGCCAGTGCGTTGCATCCCGATGTCAACAACACTGGCTTTGCGCCGATCTCTTCAAACAACGGTAGGACTCATGATTCCAACTTCCCCAACCGCCCGCAGTCCTACGTGATCGGCACCACAAGGATATGTTCCAGGACGCCCGTTCACCAAGCGCGCAATTTCGGAAATTCCGATTCGCGAACAGCGTGATTCGGGAGGATCGCAAAAACGTAATTTTGTACATTCCCGAATGGCTACATAGCACTGTCCCAACACAAACCATGGTCCCGTAAATTTCGAAACGACGTTCCAGAACTTCTGGGATCGCAGAAATGAATTCTGGAATTCCAGAATTTCCAGAATCGAGCGCCTGGCGACAGGGCGTCATGGAATGGCCTTTTTCGTCGCCGTTCAGATTGGTGTGTGAAGCGGCCGACGCACAGCAACAGTGTTGGCATCGAAATGCAACGCACTTGCGGCTGTCGTAGGTCACATCGCCGTTTCCAGCATTAGCACGACGCCCCTTTATACTGCGCACCTTTTCGATCCCCCTAGAGAAGGGCGCTCCCTCCCGATCCTCATTCACGTCCTCCCCTCCTCATTTCCCGAGCTCCTCTTCTTACTCCCCGTCTCCCTCCATCCTCCTTTCTCGACTCACACTTTCATACGAACACGCACACGCAAGCACGCGCGCCGCATACGCACATACGCACGCGCGCAGACACGCACAAACGCATACACGCACACGGTCACACGCACACGCGCGCACGGGCGCGCACGCGCGCACGGGCGCACACGCGCGCACGGGCGCACACGCGCACACACGCATTCACGCATACGCGCGCACACGCACACGCTCACACGCGCATTTCCGCGTTCGCATACACACGCACAACCACATACCAACACACACGCTATCTCAGGCGCATCGTGCTTTTCCATACAAGGGCCCCTCCCTCTCAACTTACGCAGCCCCGTCGGAACACGGTGCAACTCCTGCTGGCACATGGCGTCGGCGGCGGCTCGCCACTTGGGTGGTGGTGCTGGCGGTGGCTGTACTTCCTTCGGCAGCGCGGATGTTCTTCCAGTTCCAGCCAATGCGAGTGATGGTAGACAGGACCCCATGCAGCTACCTGGCGGCGACCCCTGGAACCACACGCGGGCGGGAGTGTAGGAGGGCACGCTTACCCCTCGGACGCCACGCGCGCAGGACGACACCTCGAGCGAACGACTTCGAAGCCGCTGACCCTTTGCACGCGGTCAACGCCGCCACCTCTTCCTCCATGAGTTCTTCACGAAGCAGTTGGGCCTCGCGTTGGCCACGCTCAAGGCGGAGGCCATCGCCAATGTCGGAGAGCAGCTCAAGGGCCCATTGGCAGCGACAGTCGGGCAGCAGGCTCAGCAGAATGACCAGCTCAGTGGTGACATCCGCTCCATCAGGGCCACGATCCAGAAGCTGGACGATTCAAACAAGGAGCTCTGCAATCAGGCCACATAACTGTTTCAGCTACTGCGGATGCAACAGGTGCCGATCTCCATCAAGGACTACAAGGACCTTCTGGAATGGGAGCGCGCCGCGGACACCAGCATCGTTGTCGGCGCCCCCGCGGGGAACATCACCGTTGAGCAGCTTCGTCAGGGCACCCAGCCCAGCTTTGACATGTGCGCGCCCGGTTGTGCTCAGTAGGAGATATGTGGCAAGAGCGCTGCCACGATATTCATCGTTCACTTCAGCGGTGACGCCAATGCAGCCGTGCGCAAGGTCCGCCTTCTCTACAGCACGCGCAGACATCCCGGCGGCTCGTAGATCAACGCTGCGGTCAACTACGTACACGGCCAGACCCCCAGTGTCTTCCTCGGACTCGATCTCTCAGCAGAGACCGCCATATGTGAGTACCAGACAGAGACTGGCTCAGATCGGTCGCGAGCTGGCTCCTGATC